CTTCAACTTCAACTTTATTTGTCCCTGAAGGTCGATTAGTTTCAGCAAGGCAAAAAGGCAAAATACATTTAAGAAGCTAACACGGTAAAATGTAAGAGGTAATGAATATAGCAGCCTTAGAGGAACAAACAGTGATGCTTGACTGAGGATCTTAACAGCTTCCACAAGAAATCTTAAAGCCACTTCTCATGGTTTCATTCCAAACAGACATGTCAGACACGCTCTGATCTCTCACCCTGTGTCAGTGCTCTGATCAAAGCCCTTCATTCAGTGTGGGTCTAAAAGTTCAAAGTGAGGAACATTATAACATCTGCAACCAAAAGTCTAAGATGTCACATGTAAGATGATATAACCAGAAAACATATAATAGTCATTTTGTGACAGATGAGGAATTTGCTGTTTATTGATACATTATTTAATTAGCGAGTCATCGTTAAAGGATGATGGAGGCTTTAAAATCAAATATCGACGTCAACCCCAAAATGGTATTTTCTGCTAAAACGACTGGCCAATGAGATGACTCTTTGAATATCGAGTTAATCCAATGACTGTTTGCCGCAGAATTTACCACAACTGACTTTGCCTTTTTAGATATGTGAAGAAAAAGGGCGTAACCAAATGTAGTGTTAGAAAAAATGGGTATTGTGGTATTGTACATATTTCAATACCCTTCATCTCTAGTCACAAGTATCAGAGATGGTGAAAAGTAGATATCAAGTGCTTACTTTTTAGAGTTTAATTCCAACCAGACTTCTACATTTCAGATATATGCACTTATATCTCTTGTGTGTGTTACTGTGTGTCTGTGCTCTGATTAAAGCCCAGCGTTCAGGCCCAGTGGTGGGGATTACTCTGGCTTTGTTGAAGGGGTTTTAAGAAAAGGTCAAAGTGCGCCCACTTAATATGGGCCCCAAAGGGCCTTGTGGGTAATTGCCAGTGCCTAATAAACTTCTAGATACCCTCTTTTCCGCTCAGATCTGCAGAGACAGACTGGGAGAGATCAGGGGCCCCTGGAGCCATGATCTGAGAGTGCTGTGTGACAGGTCATCACGGTGCTCCTTTAACCCCGTGGCATGGTAATTCAGAGCCGGGGTGCAACAATCTGTCTGACTTCCCTCCTCGCTTTGCGTGACGGGACAGGTTCTTGAACAATTTAGTCGGGGTTCTGTAATCAGCCTTGAATAGTGATTGGGAGAAATGTCAGCAGCAGGTATGGATAAGGTCAGAGGTGCGGTCTGCATAACGTCCCCGGATTGGAGGGACCAATGGGATTTGGAGTACCCCAAATGCTCCGTGGCTAAGTAATTGGCCAGCGGGATATGGGTGTTGCTGAAGCCATAAGTGGCAATTTTGATTCCTCTCAGAGACGGAGAGAGAGAGAGAGAAAAAGAAAGCAACAAAGTTGTTCAGGAGGTAACAATGAATGTCTTGATTTGTATTTTATCAGTGAAAAGGCCACACAGGCTCCGTTAGCTAATGAGGAAATGAAAAAAAAAAAACCCTCCTTTTATCCTCTAACACTGAAGCGCCCGTCTCCTGTGACCTTGATTACAAACAAAACGGGGCTGATTTATCTCCAAATGCTCGCCCTCATTCAGAGAGGACGCCACGCTATCTTGACAGCAAGAAAAATGAGCTTTCCAAGTGAACAGTCTGACATTGAGATACAAAGCATTTCTCACACAAACCTCAGGTATTACAGATAAAGAGGCATAAAAAAAAAGCCTGAGTGTAAGTGAGTTCACAGGGAGGGATGGATGGACGGACACATGGAGATATATGGTGATGATGATAATGGTAATGTCCCAGGGCTTTGTTGGCCTGTCGCTGCTGTCATGATGTGGAGGTGTGTCATTAATCAGATGAGGCAGTGACCCTCCCCTGCCAGGCGGTGACATTGGTGCTGTTTATCGCTCATGCAACACAACATGCAGACCAGCCCAATGGATAAAGATTAACATGCATTCATAGAATACACTGATCCAATGATCTATAAGCATTGATTGATACCAAGGACAAAACACTTGAGGGAGATGTTTACTGACAAACAATTACACCTGCTGCGTTATATACTATTAGTGGAAAACATTAAATACACTCACAGATTACATAGAATTCTAGTAAACAAAACACTTTTCTGTGTTACGCTTCAAAAAGATAAATCAGATATGGTAAATACTTTTGGTTGTGCTGGGAGTTATTGGGATATTGGTCAGTCTTGAATGGGGTTGGAAAGATTCAGAGTATTACTACATCACCAATAACAACAACTATTGTTTTTAAGATTTTTTGGGGCTTTTTGTGCCTTGGAGAGATAGGACCATGCGCCACTGCTCACCAACCCCAACAACAACTACTGTTAATCACCTTAAAGTACATCATGCTCATGTAGAAAGGACTTCTGTTCTACATTTCCCATAAGTAAAACTAGGGTTGTCACAATACCTTATATTTGAACTTTGATACGATTCTAGTCAAAATCAAACAATGTTGATAACCATTTTGATACCTTTGCAATAAAAATACAATTCCCAGGCACCAGTATTGGGTAATTTACTGTATTAATTACCAAATATTGTAGGGAAACTGCTGCACAATGTCTAAAATGCAAAAAAAAACAAAAAACATTGGCAACGTTTCAGTGTATTTGTGCAGTTTAGGCTGTGCTCTCATTCGTCAGCAGCATTCTTTGTTTAACACTTTGACAGCTCTGACACTTTATACATTTTGGTCTTTCAAATTATGGAGATCATATTGTTTTGAAACATACAGCATCAAAAACCATCCTAGAATCAACATTTGGACAACTTTACCTGTTACATTTGATTGAAATAGAAGATGCTTAACTTGAGGAATTGCTTGGTATTCCCGTCCTCCATTAGTTTGTCTCATTCTGCAAGACAACAATTACATACAAGATATTCATACAAATACATACAAGATTATAAGACAGCAGTTTAATAACTCTCTCCATGACATGCCTCAATATGCACAGTGTGACAGTTTATATAAACGACAGCTTTTTTGGTCGTGGTGTTCAAAAGTCTGTGAAGAGTACAAATTAGGACACCACTCTCTATAACATGACGTGCACTGTTTGGGATGAAGCTTCTCTCTGCTCGTCTTTGTGGAGGTCTCCCTGCAGATCTCAGCACATTGAGCAGAGATCTGAGTCAGGGCATGATGAGTGGAATGTCATTAAGACTGTTATAACTTATAGATATCATCAATGAGGTTGCCATAATTTAAACGATCCTCTCGCATTAATTAATCATCCAGCAGCTCCTTGATGTCCAAAATCTCATATCCATAGCCTTAGCTTCAAAGATGACTCAGTGGAGTACTTGAGGGTAGAAATATGATAACTCGCCTGGTGCTTTTTTGAAAGAGCTGCTGCTTGACTTGAGGCAAATTTTTTTCATGTCCTGCATGGCTTTGGCCTCTTCCTGGTGGACTGGCCCTGTCAGCTCTCCATCCAAGACTACAAAAGCCTTCTCCAAAACCCGTAATCTGAGAGGTCACAGAGCTCAGGGGAATTAGAGAGAGAGAAATGCCTGATGCCTTCAGGTAACGGCCACAATATGTCGTCTACAGGGGGATGGATTTTTTGGAGAAAATAGGCAGGCTGACTCTGAGAGTAATGTTTTATGAATGGGCTCCAGGGAGACAGAAAGAGAGAGGTAGTTATTTTCTTTATTTGGTATTCAAAGAGGCTCTCTGCAGTTGATTTTGTTGATGTACTTGTTTGAGTCTTGACTTGTTTTGTCAACATTTCCACGTGTATTTATGCACATGATCCAACGGTGCGTGAGTCAGATTGAATAATTCATTTACTGTGTGTGTGTGTGTGTGTGTGTGTGTGTGTGTGTGTGGCAGTCAGCCACAAGAGCCTTCATTATTGATGTGCTGTGATGCTGCACACATGACAGAGAGCCAATGAAGTCCAGAGGGAAACATTCGCACACCGTGTTGTATTTACAGTAATGCAGTAACCAAAGCGAAGTCTCTGCTCTGCTTTGTGTTATTCAACTCAGCCAAACAGAGAGAGAGCAGCTAGCTGGCTTTGTAATGATTGTGCACCAATAGGACTACACATCCAGGAAAAAAATGTAAGAAACCACTGCAAAACAAGGCATAGCTGAGTCTTCTTTCTATTATTTGCATAATTTTTCTGTTTTTTAGTTTACAACATTTTTCTCAATTTCAAAAGAAATGTTAATTAATATTTAGGCATTTTAATTGCAACACGCATTGAAAGAAAAAAAGAAGCAGTGTTAGTCAGACAACAAAAAAACATTTTTTTAACAACAGAAGACTAATGTTTTAACTTGGGAAGAGTTTAGAAACCAATTTTTTGGTGGAATAACTACAAAGTCCACATGACTTGGCGTGTTCTCCATCAGTCTTTCACATTTCTGTTGGGTGATGCTAAGACACTCTGCGCAAAACTTTGTGCTGCTCAGATTTGTTCAATGACTTGTCGGATGACCGCCTAATCAATACCTCATTAAGGAGAAAGAGGTGTGCCGGGGTTTAAAATTCATCAGGCAATGGAGCAGAATGGCTTCCATGCATGTCGAGATACAGGTTAAAGGAGAATTTGAAGAGATGTTTTTTTGTTCTGGAGCTGTATGTAACCGTAATCATCTACCTTCTGTGTAAACACATAACTTGAAGATTTCAAACAGTTTCTGTATCGCTAATAATCTGTGATGCTCTGCTGGAGAAACTGCGTGATAAAACTATTTCTAAATCCCCCCCCAAGCATAGTTTGTTTCACATTATATGTTGTGTGAGCATATTGTAAAAGCATGTATGCCAATACTATTGCATCAGACCCATAGCAGCTTAACGGTGAGGGCTGACAGGTGTATTTTACATGTGCCTGGTTGGATAATTAAAAGAAAAAGGTTCAATCAAAAACAGTAAAAAACAGTATCATCTGCATAGAAGTTTACCAGTAATCTAACCATGCCTCTATGCTTTCCTTCTCTTCCCAGTTCTGAGAGACGATTTCCGTCAGACACCCAGTGACGTGGTGGTAGCAGCAGGCGAGCCGGCCGTCATGGAGTGTATCCCCCCGAGAGGCCACCCTGAGCCCACCATCTCCTGGAAGAGAAACAACATCCGGGTCAATGACCGAGATGAGAGGATCACTGTAAGTTGACTATACTTCTTTTATGGATATGGATTGTTTCTGTATACTTGGAAATGCCATGCTTATCTCAAAGGTATCACAATGTTTTTTAAAAAAGTGATTTGAAGCAGAAAAAATGTGTTCACTGAGCGGTTCCCCCCTTATTCAGAGGTGAAAACCGTTATGTTTTTCATTTGAGTGCTTTTTTCTGCTGTGTAAATAAGTGAGATGTTTGCAACCCTTAGAGGTTTTGAATGGTTGTTTTGAACACATTTGTTTGATTTCTCAAGTGACCTTAATCTTTTTAACTTCCTCTCACAAATCACTACTTTGGGGTTTTGATTATTGATGAGGAGCCTCAGATTAAAAATCGTTCAGTTCCATCAGCATTGACAAAGCTTGCTATTGAACAGAACTGATTTGTATAATTGAATTCCTGAATCAATCAGTCAATAAATCAATCAATCAAAATGCAGAACGAGCATGCAGCCTGGTTCTAATACACTTAACATTTTAAAGCAATGTGGACTAATCGTGTTAGAGCAAATTAAAACAATGCACCAAATAACAAGTTAAGAATATCACGGTATGTTCACACAGTTGCCAGAATCAATCAATGCAGCTTCTCATTACAAACTCAACAGTGGAAGATGTTTCTATGGCGATTGGCCTGGAGCTAGACCCATTGTCAAACAGTGTAAGAACTACTGTAGCAGAGAATCCATCTATTGTGACACACCAAAATGACAGAGTGTCCTTTCTCTCGTCTAACATGCTTCAATATCCTGTTTCTAAACGTTGTCCATTTGTCTTCTTTTTCCTTCAACCCCACCTTTGCTCCACTCCTCCTCCTTATCTTTCTCACCATCATCCTCCTCTCCTTACCAATTTCATTCATTTCCTCTCCTCTCCTCTCCTCTCCTCTCCTCTCCTCTTCCCTTTTCCCATCATTTTCAGATGCGAGGAGGCAAGTTGATGATCTCAAACACCAGGAAAAGTGATGCTGGCATGTATGTGTGTGTTGGAACCAACATGGTGGGAGAGAAAGACAGTGATCCCGCTGAACTGGTGGTGTTTGGTGAGTCAGATTTTACTGCATTTCATTCAATCACAATCAACTTGAAGGTACTGTAGGGCCCCCAACATCACATGTTGTGATTAACTTCATTAAATGCGGGGCACTATTGGCCTAGCGGTTAGTACGTCCTTGAGAGCGGGCGGCCAGGGTTGGAATCCAACCTGTGGCACTTTTCCCCCATGGCGTCCCTCCCCCCCCCCCCCCCTCTCTCTCTCTCTCTCTCTCTCTCCAAAAAAACCCCAAACACTTCATTTAATGCAATCTAGAGAAGCTCCTGCTGTGTTGACTACCTTTGTTTTTGTATTTCTTTCCAGCATTTTTTTGTCAAACAATTTTTTTTACCTTGAAGGAAAAAAGAAAAGTTATTATATATAAGAGTTATTTGTCTAAAATCGGCGAATTTGTTTTTTGAGCTAAACCTTTAAATCCCCAAAGTCGTAAAACAATAAAAAAACAAATCTTAGCAGCACAATCCATGTCCTGCATGAGAGTTTCATGTTTTTATTACATGGACTCTGGTTGCTTTGAAGACAGAGATGTACAACATTAGCTAACAGCTGTATCTAGTTATAAAGATCTGACCTTAACACATGAAGATCCCTTTGTTTAAGCACCCATTCTGTAATGTTGTGTTATCCTGTCAGAGGCTTGAGCGAGCTCTTTTAGTGGGAGTACATTGATCACATCCATGTACCCTGAAAGGTCGCGGTGCAGCCATTACAGCCCCTCTATGTCTGCAAGCTGAAACGATCTACTGGGTCAACATTTCCCTCTCAGCTCTGGTTAAAAAAAACAGCATTCCCTTTAACTAATCATGAGGAGTGAGTTACCTTGATTAGAGATCTGCTGTGGTTGTTAGTATCCTCTGATTCCTGCCTGTATATATTCTCTTGTGCTGCACGTTCTCTCCTCTGCTCATGCTGTAGCAGAAGACCAATGTTTCCTTTCAGATGACCTTTCTTTGCTTTGCTCTCTGACCTCTCTGCTCCTTCCTTCTCCGTGACTCTTTGTTTTTTTTCCCCTCCCAGCAGAGCAGCTCTATAAACACTCTCAAAGTGTGTATTGATCCCAGGAAACAGATTTTTATTTTTAAATTGATATTTTGGTTTCAGACCCTCACCGTATTGCAGAAGCTGCTCCCTCCCTCTGCAGTTTGTGCTGCAACAGTAAACCTTAACCTAGCAGTCTAACAGCTAATTTATCAATGCATGGGCTCCTGAGAATTCATGGCCTGACACTTTCTATTAAAATTGATATCGCTACCGTCTGTGAAATTTCCAAGATAATAGCCAGTGCACATCTGCACTCATTTCCCCGGTTATCAACAACAACAAAAAAAAGATCATGATATTAATAAGAGCTTACAATGCATATTTATCTCCCTGCACATATGTCCCTGGTGTATTGATTCTACAATACGTATGACTTACTCATCTATATTAGGCGTATAAGCACATCAGTATGATGCAAAGCTTCCTTTTCTTTAGTTATTCTTAGTCTTATTTCACATCCTCCAACACAACCTCCTCACAACCTCCTCACAACCTCCTTGAATACTCCTGGTGCTATTTTAAATTTTATCTCTTCTAATAATATGTCGTTAAAAAAATGCAGCATCAGTTTCTGAGTGTGATTTTTAGGTGTTGATTGTGCACAATTTTTTCTTGTCTTGGTAGAGGCTCTGATTAAATATAAAGACTCAAACTGAGCTCTGGTGCAACACATCTTTCCTGCAAAGTCTTCCACAGCATGCTTTACCCCTCCAACCCTTCACCTCTCGCTCCTCTTCTGCTCCATTACTCCCTTCTTTGCCTCTTTTCACTCATTATTCCCAAACTCCCTGCATCATTATTTCAAGATTTACAAACATTATTGGAGATAAAAAATAAAAAAAAGTTAGTCATTAGATTGAATTATTTGTCCCAGGATATCCCAACCAACTGCACTCTCCTTGATCATGAAGAGCCGTCTTACATTTTGCTGCTGATTTGTGATGAAGTAGCATCACAAATCTATTTTATATATTGTAATAGCTTCTTATACTGTATTATTTAAGTTGTTGCTAGTTCTGCTTTATTTCCCTGTTAATTGTTTAGCACCAATACACCAAGTCAAATTCCTTGTATGTGTAAATGTACTTGGCAATAAAACCTGATTCTGATTCTGACAAGCATTTGAACCCTCTCTGCTTCCTGTCTGATTCCAGAGAGGCCGGTCTTCATCAAACAGCCGGTGAACCAGGTGGTGTTAGCAGACGACACGGTGGACTTCTTTTGTGAGGTGCACGGGGACCCAACTCCGACTGTCCGCTGGCGGAGAGATGAGGGAGAGCTGCCCCGTGGCAGGTAGGACAGAAAAACCACACCCATGTGCTGTGTGGAAGATCCGCCAAGTATACCAACAAAACATGTGCTTTGTGCAATAGTTACTTTTTTACTTAGCAATATAAACTACATTTCTGATAACAAGCAACCCAATTTTCTGCATCTTTACCTCATCCAACAAGGTTTTAATAAACACTCAGTCAAGAGAGATGAGAAAGAGCTACTGACATGAACATGTTCTGAAAGTGGACGTGTTCCCACTGTTTTGAATTAATGGAAAAATTGACAGAAATAAACATCTCCTGTGGAGACATAATAATTGCTTTTGTCATGTACAACAACAAATCAGTTATCTTCTTCTCATATAATACATGCTGTTAAGTGACAACACAGTTATTTCAGGAGCCAGATTTATGCCAGCTATGGTACGGCAGGTTGTGTTATTAAGATGGACATACAGACGTTATGTGAATAATAGGTTTTGGTGCAAATGTCCTGTTGCGGAAGTTATTCATTGTCTGATGTCATTTCTTCTTGTGTTATTTTATTCTTTGTTTAAGAACTTCACATAGTGGTCACATAGTACGCAAAATATACTTTACAATGTTTTTTCTAACACTAGTATGAGTCTCTAGTCTGTCTTTAGACCCCCCAATTATGAGAAACGTCCATCCTCTCCATCTTTTATCCGCTACAGTTCTTTTGAAAATGAGTGCTTAGGCAGGCTGTTTGAAGATTTTCCCCTTGTGACATCACAAAGGGCAGTAGCCCCTCCCCCAGGTGGGTGACACTCCCTCAGCTAGGTGTTTGTTCTGCCCTCTGAGTCACCGTAAATAATAGGACATGGCGCGAGAAAGCACCGAGTACACCCAAGCCCTTCAAGAGAGGGGGCGTGGTCAGACACAGCTCATTTACATATTTAAAGGTACAGACACAGAAACAGCCTGTTCTGATCAGGGCTGAAATAGAGGGGTTTATAGACATGATAAAATACAGAATCAGAGTGGATTTAGAACAAGAAACTTCACACACGTTTTATGGGACCTCTGAGACTTGTTTAAACTTTTTGAAGAGGAGGAGGATATGTGACCTTTAAAGCTTTACTTATGCAGCTCAATGATAGAATAGATTTTGTATTTTTGGGGGACATTCCTGTTAGAAGGAAACAAATAAAACAATAAACAGCTGTCAAATGTGTTACTTGACTTTTTTCAGATTGTTTGTGCACTTCCTCAGCTGACAGTTAGAATATCTGACTACAGTGATGAAGCTATTGCGGGCTAAATCTGTGCTGCTGTGAGAAAAAAAACAATGACTTTCTCCCACTCCCCTTCTAACACTTTGTGATTGGATTGGATGAAACTTTTAATGACACCCCCAGGGAAATCAGGAAAAATGCTCCCTTGTTGTCAGCTGGATTCAGATCCACACTGATCTTATGTTCCAGTTTCTGTCTCCTCGAGCATTTCTCTTCTTGTGCAGAATATGAGCAGCTTTTCCCCAAAACATAAACACTTCCTTAATAAGCACATTATTGTCTTACCCTCACACTTGTTTAGATGTTGACACCAATTTGAGATTAACCAGTCAATCGACAACTTCATAGTGTCACCTCTGTTATATCAACTTTTAGTTAGCAATAAAAAACACACTCCTAGCTCCACGTTCAGGGTCTTTTACAGATGACTGTGCTGTTTTTAGTCACACATGATACCGTGTTAAAAGTGTTTTTTGTGTGTGTGTCTTGATGTCTTCTCAGATTTGAGATCCGCAGTGACAACAGCCTGCGTCTGACCCAGGTGAGAGGTGAAGATGAGGGCACTTACACCTGCGTGTCAGAGAACAGCGTGGGCAAAGCCGAGGCGTCGGGGACCCTGCAAGTGCACGGTAAGACACAGGCTACTCTGACTCACTCACTACACACACACACACACACACACACACACACACACACACACACACACACACACACACACACAGGAGGCAGACCCCATGCATTAAAATTTCAAGTAAAATGCCAAATACAGTGTTGCGTTCAGGTACTTCAAAAACTAGCTACAGATTCTGACAGGACCAGCTTGTTGCACACGGTCATTAAAATGATTTACTCATAACATAAATAACAAATAAAAGCCTTCTTACAGAATAATTATTAAAGTATGAAGTGGTGAATTTACTATGAACGGATTGCTGCCATAAATAGCATCAAAACTGAGCATCATTTTCTCTCACTATCTGCTCCTTCTCAAGATCTAATTCACTAAGCATATTGTCCAAATGATATTCAAGCACAAACACGCCCATAAAGTTGTCCAGATCCATGCACTTTACTTTTGTTTTGCAACAGACCGTGGAGAGACTCTGCATGAGCTGCACCGTCATGTTGATGTAGCTCAATGTCTTTTTGGAGCTTACTAAGAGGCCAGACTCAAAAAAAAAATGCGATATGAGTTTCACAGTTTGAAACAAAGCTTCCTCCTTGGATGGAGCAAGCGAGAATCCAGATTGTCTCCACACATGAGGATGAAGTGTGGAGCTGCTAACGGCCATAGACTAGTTGTGCATCACTTCCCTTATAAATAATGCGGCGTTGTTATCGCTAACTCTCAGAAGACAAGTCATTTTTCTGCTCTAACTGCAGCAGTGTTTGTGAATTAGGCCATTTTTGCAATGACTATGAGTTGCTTAGAGGGGCTATTTGCCCCCCAAATGAAAGCATAGCTCGATCGTTTAAATATTTGCAAACAGAACAGGAGCACAGAGACAGAGTTTGCTCTGCAGCACAGTGAGGGTAGCGTTTAACCCTTTGTGTGTGTTTTATGAATTAGACCTTTTCTTTTGAGAGTTTTGCACAAGTTTAGCAGGTGCAAAAGTCACACAAGCCTTTTGTGACTCAGACCCTTTGTGTGAATAATGTGAACATCAAAAAGGTGCCTCAGTGAACCAGTATTTTCACCAATTTCCAGTTGGCGAAGAAAGTTAGGAAAATTAATTATTTTCTAATTCCAACTACAGTAGAGGCAGTTCTGCATAACATTTAACACTGAATACATGAGTAAATGATTGGCACAGATGGGACACTTTAGTTGCGATGCATCACAACACGTCTCACTCACCAGTTTGCTCTCATGTCTTTCCTTTGATTCATTTAATATTGTGGCTTTGCAGATAATTTGAGCTATTTGTTTCTTTTAAAAGAAAAATTTCAATGTTATCATCATTGTCCAGAAGTTGTATGCAGGGAGATATTTTTCCATAAGAAGTAAAATAGAAAGTAAATAGAAAGTAAATTGAATGACAGACAGGCAGACACTGAAGCTGTTCACTGAAACTGTAAGCGGAAAAGTGAAAAATGGATTTTAAGTTGCTTTCAAGCCTCGGCTCGTCATTCCTTTGGAGAGAGAGAGAGAGAGAGAGAGAGAGAGAGAGAGAGAGAGAGAGAGAGAGAGAGAGAGAGAGAGAGAGGAGATCAAAAAGCTTTGAAATCTGTCATTTGTGATGATAAAAGGGAATATTTAGAGTTTGACTTTGGAAAAGTTGATTTTGTGAGCGGGCCCTCCAGTCTGACACTTCTGACATCTGTCAACACACATGTGCTTGCTCGCTCGCTCTCTGTAACCATGCACACGCTAACGATGACAAATACACAGAGGCTGATACAACAGAAAACACTCACACATACCCACTCACACATGCATTCATGCTCTTCACTTGTTGCGGCAAAATGAAGCAGTCATTCCCAGCGGTATGCGTGACGTCAAATGGAGATTGATAGGCGCATGCAGCTGCTGTATTACAGATAATAGGAAACCTTCACACACACACACACACACACACACACACACACAAACTGTATCATACAAAACCACAGATCAATCCGAACACAACCTCTTACATTCACCTGCATGTCAGCGTTCAGTTCATCGATACTCCTCTGCCTTCCTTTGGGATCACTCCATTTAAACAGCAAACTGAAATTGAACTGAAATTGACTTCTAGTTAATTTAAAACAGACCTGAGTGGTTCAGAGGATCCAAAGTGTCTCTTCATCTTCGTTCAAAATGTTTCATCCAATATCATCATGCCCGCGTCATCTCATCTTCATTCATTGTTTATTTGTCCTCTCTTCTTTTCCATTCCCCTCCGCATCACTCCATCACAGTCGGCCCATCCAGTAAGTATCCCATTTCATCCCATTTTTGCATGCATGTAAGAGTGAGTGTGTGTGTGTGTGTGTGTGTGTGACATCTTTTCTGACTTTTGATAGTTTGCTACAATAAACCCTGTAATGTAAGACGCACAGCTACATACTGGAGATTCACTTTTTTCTCGATTACTGTATTTAATGTCATATCATGTTTCCAGTCAACGTGTGGTGACGTGATAGTGTTTCCAATTTCTCATTTTTAAAGAATCATGCACTCATGCATTGAACACCTGACATCATTGAACTCTGTGAGGGTTCAGTGTTTCGGTATTGGGGAGGTGAGTCAGACACTTCCTGGCTTCAAGATCGCCATGTTGGAGGCAAAAAAAACAAAACAATAAAATGTTTTTTTTTTCTTCAGTTAGGAACAGAGAATAATCAATTAGGATTTAAGTACCTCTGGAGTCCCTGGGAAAAGGAAGCTTTTGATTTTCCGGTCGTGCTTCAGCACACCGAGGCCGAGCTTCATTACTGCAAAGAAAAAGCTCCCATCAATAACAGGGGGACAAACACTCCTGAATGCATAAAACATGTAATGAGAAAGAACTACAGGCGATAAAACCCTAAACATCCTAAACACTGTAAAATGAATGTGTGCTGCAGTCAAACATAAATCAAGCATGCTCTGACTACTTAATCTCTGCTAAATCTGAGCCTCTGTACTTGTATATTAATAGTTAATTAACAGGGTTTCCTCTTCACTTCAGCAGGGGGAAACAGGCAAACGTCTGTCAGCTACTTTAAGTGCTTCTTCTTGTGTTTGTGGTGGAAGTGAGAATTACCAAATCAAAACAAGTAGACACAGTGAGCTACAGTGTGTGAGCTTTCATCCACACTCGAGGAAGACAGACATGTAATTTAGGGAAAAAGAGTTGCAATTTCTCATGAGTTTTTTTAGACTCCGTCTTTTTCAAATGTCACAACAACAGAAATGAAAAAAAGGCAGAAGAGAGTGTAAGTGATGGTTTCAGGAACAGTTTAGGTAAGACGTGAAAAATGATTTTTAAAAGCAGTGTGTGCTTGGAGAGTGTGTAGTATTTGTGTGTATATGTTGTTGACAAGTGCACAGGTGGAGAGGCTGTGGCTCAGTGGGTAGAGTGAGTCGTCGTCTCTCAACCTGAAGGTCGGGGGTTCGATCCCCAGCTCCCTCAGCCACATGTCCCTTAACCATCCTGATGCTTCACCAGAGGTGTATACATGTGTATGAATGGGATTAGCTATCACTGATGGTCACTTTACATTGGAACCTCTGCCATCAGTGTGTGAATGTGTAGGTGTGACCTGCAGTGTAAAAGAGCTTTGAGTAGTCAGAAGACTAGAAAAGAAATATACAAGCTCAAGTCCATTTACCTTTTTTTTTCTTTTTTAAAGATTTATTTTTGGGCATTTTGTGCCTTTATTAGAGAGATAGGACAGTAGACAGAGTCTGAAATCAGGGAGGGAGAGAGTAGGGAATGACATGCGGGAAAGGAGCCACAGGTCGGATTCGAACCCGGGCTGCCCGCCTGGAGGACCGCAGCCTCCACACATGGGGCGCTGCGCTCTAACCACTGTGCCACCACGCAGCGCCCCAGTCCAGTTACCATTTAACATAAAACTGAGGACTATAGATCTTGGGCTCAGAAATCACCGAAACTCAAAGTCAAAAGAGTCATCACACCATGACCATGATCTCATTCAGATATTTAATACAATATTTTAAATGTCATATTGTTAAAAAGTTCAGAGAAAAAAAAGTCACCTTATGTATATCAGAATGTGATCACTATTGTCTATCTATGTTACAACTTGTGAGTTATTAATTAATGATTACATTGGACACAAAGTAACGTCTAAATAACATAAATTATAACATAAATTATCCTTAGTATACAATGTTAATACACAAAAAAACAACTTTTAACTGGAGGAAATTAAGTATCAATTTACGGTTTATTAATGATGGTTATTATAACGTGTTGACAAAAACTCTTCTTCAGAGCTTTTTCTTTTGTTTTTCTTTTCTTTTTTATTTGTATTGGGGATAAGGTGAACAAAATGAAACAAGAATATATCAATATGACAACTAAAGCGAGAACAAATAAACAAAGACAAAAAAAATGAAAATAAAAATAAATAAAACGGACAAAATATATACAAAATAGCAAAACATAAGCAAAGATACAGAGCAACAATACAGACAAAAGTGTCTGTAGAGCTTTTTCTTTTTAAACCTTTTTGTTTAAAATAGTAGTGTGGACTTTAACATCAGATATGCAAAGTCCAGTGAATAATCTGGGGCAAGCGAGAGCTCTCCCAGTGGGGGTTGGGGGTAGGGGGGGTTGTGGGGGTCACTGCTGTAGGCTGTGTAGTTGTAGTGTATCTGCAGAGAGGAGACAGGATGACCGTCCTTCTGATTTTATGCTGTTACATTTCCCCTTCAGCAGGGACTGACTTCTTTGTCCCCGCCTGAGGCTTCTTCAATATCGTAAAGGCAAAGAAAGAATGCCTCTTATTACTTATCTCCCCCCCGTCTATTTAAATCTCTGCCAATTCAGAAAAAGGATGTTGGATAAGTAGGAGTGAGTCCTGGGCAGAGGGGTCCCATCTCCAAATTAAATAAAAGCATGGATAAGTTATGATCCAGCTGTGAAAAATAATGCACAGGAAACCATCATCAATCGTCCTTAAGAAGCAAACGGTGACTAAAAGAAAGTTTGAGAAAGAGAGGTGGGGATACCAGACTGCAGCAGCATGAGAGTGTGTTTACTCGAGTGAATGTTTGTGAAACTCGCTGTCTGCATCAGCGTGGGACTGTGACAGCTGCCTGTCAGATCGAGGCCCCTCAGGACCCCCTGCCAGGAGTGCGTGTGTGGGTGTGTGTGTATTTGTGTTCCCCCCCCCCCCGTGTGTGATAGCTTCAGTATGTTGGAGCAAATCACTTGTCAAGTGCAGATGGGGGAGTGGAGGATGTAAGATGCTTTGCTTTTTAAGCACTTTGTCTACTTTGGGTGTGTGACTGAAAAACATGCTGTTTGCATACAGCAGCAGAGGAACAGGGAGCACAGCATGTGGTGAGGGGCTGAGACAGTAGAGACAGTAGTCTACTTTAGTTAGTGTTTATGAGCGTCTTGGACTGATCGAGTTCCCTCCCAATTCAAGCTCGGATCAGAAACAGAAGTATAAAGTGGATATGGGACGACTGCTGAACCATAGATGACCTGCGTTACTAACATCTGGCAACATGGTTTGCTTTAAGTCAGGGGAGAGGAAGTTAAAAGTCCACAACTTATCCAGGGATCGGTGTTCTGAAAATTTTGTCCAGATCTCCATTTTCCTGCTACCAGATGAAATATACAACTCTTCATCAGACTACTAAAAAACGTGCACCACCCCCATTACAACACCTATCTTTCCATCCTTGCACGTAGGGGGCGCACTACTTCTTGCATTAGCTTTGAAACCAAGCAGCAACCTCCATTCTTGAAAACTGAAGCCAGTGCAAAAGTGCAAAAGACTGGAAGTCCCATCAACACCCATATTAAAAATGTCCATTTTGACAGCAGAAATCACATGTTTACAGCCCGGTGCTTAAAATGGTTTTGGTCTTTCTTTATTGCTAACGATGTACTTTGGGGTGGTCCAATTTATTTTTATTAAACCCCGAAGTGATTCATACATTTGCATGAAAGGATGATTCATAATCTGGCCAAATTACTTTTCATTATGAAAACAGATTCCATCCTGGGCTGGGACAAGACAAATATCCTAGTATTTTTTATTTTTTTAAATGGGGCAAGGAATCGAAGATGAGTTTTGGCACAAAATAGCATCACAATTGAAACTCATTTGTCTTTCCCAATCTTGATATCCATTAACTAAAGTCTGATGAAAATCTTTCCTCTTTGAGAAACGTCCAATATCTTGGAGCTTCAAGTGCATTCAGATAACTAGTACATATGATATCCGTCCAAGACTTCCTCTTCTGTCTAATGGGCGTTTACAATCAGACTGGAAAACGACATCTTAATCTGGATTCATATCTACCTGTTCCCTCATATCTTTTTATAGAGCTGATTGATTCTCAGGTGATAGACGATTGGTCCCAGGATTTAATATTCACCAATGAACTCCTCCAGTGTTTGTCTCCATATGGACCCTTTTCCTGTTTCAAACCAAAGCTTGCTCTAACACAAGTGATCAATGCAGCTCTGACCTCCTCAAACAGAAGCAGTATGATTCTAATAAAACTAATCGTGTTCTGTGCAGACAGATTCCACCTTCGTATGCCGATAACCGTTTGAAAAGATGATCTCTAAAAAAGCATAGCAAAGCTTTCTCTGCCTGACCCACTGCAGACAACAAGCTAATGCAAGCTAGTTTACATTGGACCACAATTTGCCTATCTGCCATAGAGCCCTATGGAGGAACAGAGATCATGCTTCCTTTGATTGCATTAAGTAATTCTTTTAACCTCACCGTTGAAGCCTTTACCTACTGGACCAATTCAGACATGAAGGACTGACCTTGTGACTTAACTTTGCATGAGAACATTTGATCCCCATCATCACTCAGAAAGACATTCTAAGAGTTTCAGGCACTTCTCACTCAGAGCAGACTTTGCTCCTTGAGTCTGACAGTTCTTATCGTGAACCCTGTGGAAATTTTCCCTCGCAGTCCTCGACTATTTCTGCCTCCCTCTTGGCATGTTAGCCTTGTTATGTGTTCTGCAGCAACCGCCAATATCCAGCGTATAAAAAGAAGTCTCCAGGCTCCTTTGAATTCCTGTCTCAAGAGTTTCATTCTTTATTTAGACGTTTCCCAATTTACCTTGCTGTCACCTCCCTGCAGTTATCAGTTTATGTGCCGTCATTTCTGCAGAACCTGGTTATAGACTTTATAAAACAGGGAAATTTAAGGTGCTACTGTGATTGCTAAAGATTTAACTGCACTTCAAAAAGCGCATATACCTTTGCGCCAAGTGGCAGCTCAGAATATTAAAACGGCTGTACGATGCGACATGCATTGTTCACTGATTTTTCTCATACTTGAGCTGCTCTTGTTTCCGTCCCATGTGAGGATGCTAATGTTCCTCCCTGCCCTAAATCTAAAGCTCAGTGTCGCGCCGAGTGCACCCATTATTGCTAATTATTTATTACAGCCTGAGGCAATGTGCCGACTTGCCTCCTCAAATCAAACATTGTTATTCTCCAGACGGGCTGTGTAGCGCGCCCAAAAACGGCATTTTAATAGCCTGAATATTCCGAGCGTCGTCGTATTTGGGTCAGAGTGATGTCGTTGTTACAGGCTCGACGGGGAAATGTTCAGGTGTTGACAAGTTTTTTTTGTCAATTTTCCTGCTTTGGCACCTTGTTCTGATGATGTGTCTTCTCTGCGGTGTGTTTGTCACAGCTGAATGTGCACAGGCACCGGAGATGCATTACATAAGCCGGGGGTCTATTACACCGCATTTCTTTGATATTTCAGGCCTTGCATCAGTTTCATCATGAAGCGCTGGAGTTATCTAGGAAGTAGAAGCCACTCTGTTCGTGACATCCTAACCTTGCAGGAGCTTTTTCTTTTGTGTGGCTTTGACCTTTAGGGTCAGTAGGGGTCAATATGGACATGATCCCTGTCCAGTTCACACACAGCCTCCTTAGCTGTGATTTCTCCTGAGGCTGACATATTGAGAGCCCCCCCCCCCCTGCTGTGTGAGGAGGCCTCGAGATGGAAGCAGACATTAGGACAGCAAAAGGAAGCGTAAATCCCCAAGGCGGGGGGGATAAAATGTGTATGAAAGGCATGAAATTCAGTGTGCACGCTCATCTCAGGTGAGCGATAACAGCAAGCAACTCCCAAAGAGGAGGCCTACAGATTTGGTTAGACAGGGATTCTAAATCCAGACCACACGCGCGCAGACATTTCACATCAGAGAGAATTTCCGTTCTACTCCTTCATCTGCAGACCTGTTTCCCTGACAAACTTCTCTCGGTTTATCTTAAGCCCCCTTTCACAGACAAAATATGCACACCTTCAAATGTTCTGACATAACTTGGAGGAGCTGCAGGTGAAAAATGGAAAAAGTCCAAATCAGAAAGCCTAGACTTTAAACAGTGTTTAACTGCTTCAGCCCTCCTTGAATGAAGTCTGATTGAGCCAATATGTAAACAAACCAGTTAATAGTCTGAAACCAATCACAGCGAGTGAGTGGGTGTGTTGATGTGATTCACACCGACACACAGCTTTGTTCTTTTTCTACTCGCCCAAGTCTCCTGTTCATTTTTTTTTAGTCGTGTTTTTCTGCTGATGATAAAAAAAAAAAAAGCATCCTTAATGGAAGAGTCCTCCGTCTCCTGCTCCTTAAGAAACCCCCAGCCTGCCTCATACGGAAACCTCCGGCTGTGTACATGTGTGAAAGGACAAGACCAGGCTGCAACCTCTGGTGCTGAGAAATGAAGCCAAAGCAAAAGTGCAAAAAAACTGCAGTTCCTTGAGTGTCCACTTGAGGCTGGCTGCAGAATCCAATGTTCAGAGCTGATTGTTAGAGGATTTCTTCAGATGAGAATATGTGAGCAGCTCAAGTCTTCTATCTTTCCTTCCCCTCGTTAAAACACTGAATCCATTTCTTACACTCTCAACACAAAGAAAGAGAAACTGCCTCCTCTGATTTAACTTGTGTCAGCAAACTTTTCTCAAACTGCCAATGGGTGAGGTCGAATTTAGGGCAGAGTTATGTTGTGTTTGAACTCAGTTACAGATGATCTGAAAAGAAAAGAACCAAGACTTAAAAAGGGAACATCCTTCCATCATTGTTGTTTCTGTTGTTATATTTCTACATTAGTCAGTAATCTAGCAAATTTGAAAAAAGGCAAATCATTGCATGCATTGAATTACACAGCAAGAAGGGCACCCTTACACAAACACCCACAGCCTGTAATGTATATCAATGTGTGTTGTACACGTTCAGAGCAGAGCAGAGAGAATATTTGCTTTCCAGATTCAGATTTCTTCGTGCAAATTGAATTGGCATTAAAGAACACATGGATAGTAACTCATCTCTTTGTTCTTCCACTGTGACTCTTTCAGTCGCTCTCTCTGCAGGGCTTTCCTGTTTCCATTCTTTAGGAAGGTTCTCCTCTCGTCTTTCTTTCTCTCTCTGTCTGTTTGTCTCGCTGCTAATTGAGACGGAGAATGAAAGAGGAGCTAGAGATCAGGTGGGAAGATGAGAAATCAATTAGGGCTGCTGGTGGAGGGCGTCATTATGCATTCAGACCCCCCTCTGTGGTGGGGGGAGGCCTGTCACCTGCTACAGAATCAATAGAAATCAAAGGAGTGTGTGTGTTTGTGTGTATGTGTGTAGAGTCACAAACACATCCCTCCTTCCTTCAATCTCAGTTCAAAGACTTGTGATTAGCCCAGGTGCCCGGGATCAGAAAGGTGACCCGCAAACCCTGAATGCAGCTTCCTGAGGGTTCAGCACTAAACACAGGAGATTGATTATCATGGCCTATAGCTTAATCAATAACCATCTATAGCAGGTTTTATCATTCAAAGCCAAATGATTCAAGGTCAAGAGCAGTCTTTTTCAAGGCTCCCATCCTGGCAGAAACAGTGCTCTGAAGAGCCAACCAGAGATTAAACCAATAGAAACCCTCGCTCAGTCTGAATACTTGTGTTCCTCGTGCATTAATGTGCACAGTGTTTCCCTTAAGGGAGACACATTTGTGTTTTCTGCTGCAGCAGATTTAAATGCAGTCCACATAACACTGTAGTTCTGAAAGCAGTCTATATGTGCTCTGAATGTTTATGTCTAATAAAAAGTTATGAAAACCTTAAAAGTTGAAGCGGATCCTCATTTGAAAAACTCATGGGCAAAGTTTCAGGTCATGAGGTAAACGTATGCTGTAGTTATCCTAGGATAAGTCTGAAGAGTGTTCTAAACGGCTCAGGATCGTTCCCCGTTATGAAACCGGGAATTTTATTTTTTTAAGATTTATTTTTAGGCTTTTTTTGCCTTTAGTGGAGAGACAGGACAGTGGATAGAGTCAGAAATCAGGGAGAAAGAGAGTAGGGAATGACATGCGGGAAAGGAGCCACAGGTCGGATTTGAACCCGGGCCGCCCGCTTGAAAGACCACAGCCTCCATATATGGGGCGCGCTCTGCATAGGCCAGTGAAGCCGTTTTCATTGGATTCATAGAGTGTTCTCCCAGCGCTGAAGAGCTGCGCCCTCCACTGGCAGCGCTGCAGCGTTCTGTCCTGCAAGGCTTCCAGAGAGCTGGCCAATCAGAAGAAAGATAGGGGCCTTAAAGAGACAGCAGCTGAAAAAAGGCATTTCAGGCATATACTGAAATAAGAGTTAATGCCATGAATTTGTAAAAAAAAAAAAACAATCATAATAATCAAACAATTAGACAGCCTTCCAGAAGTTTTGGTTACTGGGAGTGTTCAGGAGGTTAGCCATGACATTAGAGAATGGCAGATGATACTTTAGATCAATTCTTCATTTGATGTATTCACAGTTTCATACTGGTGAAAAGAGCATGGAGCCATTTAACTACATGCACCGAGACCACACTGATTGCTCCATATAATTTTCTTAAGAAAGAAGCATGATTAATTAAAGACAGCAGGAAGTCTTGTATGTCTAGACTCTCTGTGTTACTACTTTCTATTCTACAGGAAATCAACAGTAATTGGTTTTAAACCTCGATTGAGTAATTGAAGGTGGTTAAGCAAATGACAAAAGCAAGAAGCAGCTGAATAGCAGCTGGGGGATTTATGTATTTGAAATAATCAAACTATGTTAATGAAAAAAAGTTGATTCACGCCGCCACTTTATGGTGAATTATCTCTTTAAGTTTTCACATTTTTTTCTTCAATTGGAAGAGTTTGAAGATGTCAGACAAACTCTGATCGACTCATAGTCCGTTGATTCAAACAAACTGTATGTTTTTAAGGGGTAGTAGTGCTATAAATAGTTTTTTTTTTTTCAATTTACCTAAATGTATTTGTAGATAAGGTTTTGTGTGTATATGTGTGTAGGTGTGTGAGAAAGCGAGATAACAAGATAGGATGAGGCTGAGTGAGAGAGAGAGATGTCACTTATGTCCTGTTGTCATCACTGGTGGTCTGTTACGGATTACTGCACTCATCACCACAGCCACCACACACTCACTGTATGAAGACCACTCAACACACACACACATTTCATTTCTATTGGGCTCTGATAACCATGTCTCCCTCTCCTCTCTGTGTCACAGTACCCCCTCAGATCGTAGTTCGGCCGAGAGACCAGATCACAGCTCCAGGTCGCACCGTGACCTTCCTCTGTGGAACCAAAGGAAACCCCCCGCCCGCCGTCTTCTGGCAGAGAGAAGGCAGCCAGGTAAGAGAGAGAGCCCCCCTGTGACATGTTTTAAAGTCAGCTCTGATCTCCCACTGCACAGAGGATGACAGTCATCTCTGCCCTCCGAGGCATCCATCACAGTTTCATGGTCAATTTGTGTCTGACAGTCGCTGTTTCTTTTGGAAAGTGAGTGGCAGGTGGGGCTGGTGGTTAAGGGGGGCTCCCACTGGTCACAGAAACTCTCTGTACTGTCACAAAGATACAGTTAGAATAGTGAAGTAATGGGGAATGAGGTAGGGTTACAAATAGAGGTTTTTACAACTTGAGTTGATGTCTGTCTTTGGTGATCTGAGTCTGACAACCAGTGGGTAGCCTTACTGTCTGAACACACCCCAAAGTGTCCTGAGGACTGCTTGAGATCTGACAGCTCAGAACACACACGGAGAGGGTCTGGCAGTCCAGATTGATCCAGACTGGTTTGGAGGTGTAAACGCTCATGTGTCCTTGGCAGCATTAAGGAACCACCCCCTTAACTGGAAGAGCACTGCTGCATCCAACTGGGTGTACCCACTATGCATTAATCTTTTCAAAGGCATGTTTGGCAGAGAAGTGACTTATTGATCTCAGTTACACATTGAGACACATTGCTAATGAAAGGTGTAAACGCCCATCATAAAAGCACTTGTCCACTTGTTATGAGATGACCCAGGATGGATGTTAATGCAAGGTGTAAACATCCTCATAGACCACATCACTGGAGTAAACTGTGTAAATCCAAGCATGCTGCATAGTGGATCAACTTTGGTCATGTTTCTCCTCACTGCAGTTAAATCATTATTCTGGTATTTCATCCTGGGAATTTTTTTTTTTAACTGATTTTGATTTTCTTACCGTTAATTAAAAAAAAAAGAAAAAAAAAAGGTTTGGGATTGTTCCTGCCAGCAGTGAAGAAACGATCTCTAATGGCTGCAGTGAAATCAGTCTGAGCCTGTCAGAAACAAAAACAAACACTTTTACTGGACACACTTAAGACAGCCAAATTTAACCTGAGAGATGACTTTGAAGCCATTACAGCCTGTTATGATGCAGCAGCTGAGGAGGTGACTGGTGAAATTACAATGTACTAACAACTGTTTCTACAATTCTACAATTCACTTAGCAGACTCTTTTATCCAAAGCGACATACATCATAGAGTAAGTACAACACAAGCAAAGATCTAGAAAAAAGGGAACAATGTCAGTAAGAACAAACGATCAGCTTTGAGTCTGATTGGACACACAGGTGCTGACAGGAAGTGACCAGAGGCAAAGCACAACATTGAGGGCAGTTCTTGAGAGCTCTAATCAGTATAGAAACCATCTTATAAGTCGTCGTTATCAAACAAAAACCATCGTCATTACCATCATCATCATCAATAATATGGAGCCCATCATCATTAAGTTAGTAGGTATTCATGAAAGAGCTGGGTCTTTAGCTTTTTCTTAAAGGTGCAGAGAGACTCTGTAGATCACATGGAAGTTCATTCCACCACCGGGGGGCGACAGAGGAGAGAAGAGTCTAGTCAGAGACTTAGGACCCTGTTGTGAAGGTTGGATCAGACGCCTTTCATTGGTAGAGTGAAGTGGGCGAGAGGGAGTGTAGACCTGGATGAGAGAGTTAAAGTAAGGAGGAGACGTTTTTGTCGCTGTTTTGTAAGTGATTTGAGACAGTTTCACATTTTTAATGATTAAATAATGACATATTAATAGCAATGATATAAGAGCCATAAAAATACACTCGCTGATTTTATGCTAAGCTAGTTTCTTTACATGCCACTTTTGCTTTAAGGAGAGCCTCCATCCCTCATTTCTGTCGTTTTCTTTACTGTCATATTTTTCTGTTACTGCTGTAGTTCAGTAGTACACACACACACACACACACACACACACACATACACACACACACACAGCCACACAATCATGCACACTTCATTTCCCCCATCATCCACACAGGTTATTATCCTCAAAGCGTGAGTCTGCTCAGGCCTACGTGTCTTCAGAAGTGTGTTTTTGTCAGTGTGGGTTTTGTGTGTGAGAAAACGGCGAGCGCATGATAAGCACGGCAGCCTGTTGGAATGCACTGAAAGGCCTGATGAGAGTGCGTGGGTGCCGGTAGCATGGCTCCCAGGTACAGATTAGAGGGGGAAGAGTGAGGGTGGGAAAAAAAAAAAAAAAAAGAGGCCTGGAGAAGTTGTGTGGGAGAAGGAGAACAAGGGCAGAGGAGGGAGATAAAGAGGAGAGAGCATGGAGGAGAGGAAGAATACGGGTAGCATGTTGTGAGTAGTGGCTTCCTTTGTGTGAATAACCTCCAGGAAAGAAACGTATCTCATACTCTGGGAAAATAGAGAAGATCGGGGATAACGGTGAGGAAAAGCACTTTGGTGAAATTGTATCAGAAAGTGAAGAATTAGAACCATTTTGCTTTCAAGCTACAGGTGAAACTGTATCATTGTAAAAGGGTCATACATCACAGAGGTAATGTTAGTGAAGGTCTCATGGATAATGGTGTCCTACAGGACAATTTCAGCTCTTCATTCCTGTGGTTAGGAATCACAGCTCTACTTGACATATGATAATAGCGGATGGTTTGCAGAATGTATCCAGATAAGAGAAGTGATTGTACACTGCAATGAGGGAAGATTTGTGTGATTGTAGCATGACATGTAATTCCTACATCAGCTAAAGGACACACAAGGGTTCGAAAATACAACCAGGTCGGGGTGCCGGTAGCCTAGTGGTTAGTGCGCGCCCCACGTGCGGAGGCTATAGTTCCCCAAGCCTGCAGCCTGGGTTTGAATCTGACCTGTGGCTCCTTTACCGCATGTCATTCAACACTCTCTCTACCATGTTTCTGACTACTTGTACGAAGGCATAAACACCCCAAAAAATAAACCATTTAAGAAAATGACACTCCACTTAGCCTGTTTGCTTAAATGAAGAAGGTTTTGATATCAGTTGGCCTTGAGACACAGGAGACAGGTGCACAGGTGCTAAAATGAAAAGCTGACAGTTGGTGCCCATTAAGGAAAACCTGCACACTTACTCAATGTCACAAAAAGTTGAAGATTTGTTAGATAATTGTACAGTAATACTTTGTCTTTGTATTTACTTGGCATATTGTCTGTGGATGGTATTAAATGTTTTATTGGGGAATTTATTTTTATTTCACTTGGCATTTTGCATGTTTGACCTTCCTGCCATCAACCCCTTAAAAAACACTCATACAGACCAGTGTGTAAAATCATAGTGAGGCAACTTTTTGTTGCCCTGAGTAAGTGTACAGGAAGTGTGATTTTTTTTTAAATTGCCCTGTACCCACTGACTGTCCTGTGAGTATAATGCCTGATGGAGCTAACAGGTCATCAAACTGGGCAAAGGGCAACCAAGTAGATGGAACAGTGAGCCGTAGTAATCCAGACTCAAGTCCTGAAGGAGGTGGTGAAATGGATGGAGCTGCTTTTGCATCTGTAGGAACTTCTTTATTTTGCAGGCTGTGTTAAACTACAGCAACAAATACGTCCAGCAGTCGAGCTACAGAGGTTTACCAACAATAACCCAGATCCATTTAAAGCAGGAAGCATTATTTTGACTTTTAAGCCGTTGATTTTATTGGATGCTTTTTTACATGTAAACCACAGTTTGAATTTGTTCATCTCCTCTCCTCTTTGTCCTGATGCTACATGTTGTTATGAGCACATTCAGTTCAAGGACGTTCTCAAACGCACATAGAGACAGAGTGTCAGGACATTTATAACGTTGAACTTAAATCACACACATTGATATTTCCACAGTGGATTGTTCAGTGCTCTCTGGCCCATCCCCTCTTTAGTGTAAATTTAAATAGTTTCAGCTATCAGCCGTCCTCCATTTCTCCTGCCTCTTTATTCTCAAGTGACCTAGAGTATCTTTTTATTCCAGCTGAACATGTGAACAAAAAGCTTTATCCTTGAATATTCAAGAGAGTTTTCAGACTCTTAATAAAGCTGCGAGTGGATCCACTCTTGTCTGCCGTCGACACAACATCCTTTATTATGAAGCCGAGCCGTAGTGGAGAAGTTTTCTTTAAATATCAGCCCTTAAAGTCAAAGCATGGGAGTACATGTCGGTGTGTCTGAAATCATGATTAAAAGAAGTCTAAGCATTGTGATGTTCCTCTTCTGCAGATCCTGCTGTTCCCCATCCAGGAGCCGTCTCAGTCGGGTCGCTTCTCCGTGTCGCTGAGCGGCGAGCTGACCATCTCAGACGTCCAGGTGGAAGACTCGGGCTACTACATCTGTCAGGCCATCAGCGTGGCCGGCAGCATCCTGACCAAAGCCCTGCTGGAGGTGGAGAGTGGTGAGTGTTAAACACGTGCAAAAAACATGACGATAGCCGGTCAGCTACTTAATAGAGTGACATCATAGCAACGCAACAGAGCGTAGCTCGCTAATTAATAAGACAAAAAAGAAGAAGATAAGATAAGATAATCCTTTATTTATCCCACAACAGGGACATTTACGGTGTTACAGCAGCAAAGAGCAAAAATTGCAAACAAAAAGTGAACACAGTACACATTTTAAATAAAAAAATTATATATATTTTTTTTTTACAAAAAATAGATAGATACCACAATATAGATAAAATAAAAAATTGCATAAAACAGTTAGCAGAGCAACAACAGAGGACGTTATGCAGCCCCTCTGAGGTCTTCAATGGGGCGGGGCTACACACTGATGACAGTGGCAAAAAAACAAAAGAGCCTTGAAATGACTTTCTACCCATATGGATCGGTTATTTTGGTACTAGTTCCAACGATTGACAGTGGAAACTCCATTAACTGCGTACCAAACCAAACCGAACTGAACAGGAAATGGAAACAGGGTTTTAGAAATGTGTGAGCAGCAGATCAGCTTCATGACTCCTCTGTCTAAAGAAGAGCTCCAGATCTGAACTCCAAACTACTTGACTCCCAGTTCTGTTTGTTCTGGAGAGGAACAGATCGCTGTCGATAATCTGGCTCTCGATAAAAACGATTTTTTTATTTTTTGGGGGGTGCTTTATTGACTCAGGTTGTAAAGTTTACAGCTTGCCATGCTGTTGCTCCTGCATTGCTCACTGACCAATGAGCAGCAATTTTGAAAAAAAAAAAAGAAGTTCAGGATTACACGGACTGAATAAAAGTCGGCTCATCTTCTTCTTGACTGAGGATTTGGATTGTCTTTGTTTCTGCAGCAGCCTTTCTCTGATCACATGGTCACGTTACAGACACAGTCATCTTTAACTGCAGTATTTATGGGGACTAAAGAAATACGTGACTGCTGGCATATTTTCTGTCTGACATGCTGTTAACACCCAGTGTAAATGTGTCTGACTTTTGCCTCCAGCTGTTATAATTTGGCACATGTTGACACATTATTATTCAAATGTTGTTGGCATTTGTAAAAGGAAAATAGTTCACTTATTAGAACTTTAATCAGTGGAATGGATATCATTAACATTTGCCCCTGTGGGGTTTTATTATCACTTATCACCTAATTTTAATCACTGTTATCATAATTTTTATGTATAAAGAAAAAATAACAACTAATACTTTCCCTTATAAATACTGATAAAAGTAATAGAACACACTCTGCTTCCTGGTTGATTACAATTTTTTTTTGCCTTTATTAGAGAGATAGGACAGTGGATAGAGCCAGAAATCAGGGAGTGAGAGAGAGATAATGAGGAATGATATGCAGAGTGGAGCCACAGGTCGGAATTGAACCCGGGCCGCCCGCTTGGAGGACCACAGCCTCCACACAGGTGGTTAGTGCGAGCGCACTAACCACCAGGCCCTCGGCGCCCCATTATAAAAATATTCTGCTGATTAAACCGCCGCCCTCTCACCCACACACACATGCGCTGATACAAATTAGAAAAATCCTTCAAATCCATCTTAAATTAAAATATTCTCCTCCCCTAACGATGGAACAGCAGGAGTCCAGATCTGATGTAAACCCAGAGGGGATGGTCTGGTGATCGTTTTTTATGCAAAATAACCTGCTGCTACATGTGTTCCCCTCGCCACATCCTCCCATTCAAGGAGCAAACAAGGGATTTAGTTCAGCTTTAAATATTTTAACTCCTCACTTGACTTTACATATTTTCAGTGAGCTGATGATGTCACTGAATATTAACGAGGGTTTGCTCTTACTTTGCATGCAGCAGCATGTGTTGTTAGGGCGAAGTGTTCATTTCTGCTCAGTCATTGAAAGGTGAATGCGTTGTGAGAGACCAAGGACGTTCGCTTACAAGGAGTGTTTAGCTCCTTTACATTTCCATTTTATGAATGTGCAGGATTTCATACCACTTCTTCTAAACTCAACACAACTCTGCTAAAAAAGAACACTTTACCCCACGCTGTCTACGTTTTAGATTGCACTTTAATTTGTTGAATATGCACATTAACAGGCGTAAGCTGCAGATGCACATCAAATTGGTATGTTTTTTTATTTGTGTCAAAGCATTCATTCCACGTCCCATTTCCCTGAAGTGAAGCCAAGTGTTGTTGCAGCTGAAGTAAGCCGAGCATACATTATTTATTCTTTTTCCTCTATTTCTCCTGTTCTCTTTATTATGTCCTGGATTTTAAAAAACTGATCTCAGGAAGTCATCTCATCATGTTTAAATTTAAGTGTCTGGCAAGCTCTCAGTATTTTACCAAAGATCCGTCAGTCGTCATTTTTCTTCAACCAGAACATGATTTCTCATTGAGTAGTTAGTGGTGGGCCCTGAGGCCAGACCAGTTGAGAACCACTCGTCTAAATGATACCTGGTTTCCCAAAAGTATAGGCTTTGTTATTTACAAACCCTCAAGTCTTACTAATTTTAAACGTACTATACAGTATGTTGATTATTATTAGAATTTTCACAATAAAATGTCTCAATTAATTAAAAATAGACTAAACCTGTTATATATATTTTTTGTTGAGTAATTACATTTCCTCAAATATTTCCAACAATTATCAAAGCCAGAGAAATCTGTCATTTTAGAGTTGTAACGGGACGTGTCTTGTTGTGGCGGCCGCCATGACAGACACGACATGTTTGCCGTTGCCGTGGAAACACCGGATGTTACGTCAAATGCTGCTACATAAGGAAGCGGGAACTGCTACTGAAAGCTGATAAAAACGTCATGTAAATTATACTTGGATACATCGTCTGTAAACATAGGATCTTCTTCAGGTCGGTTTCACCCGTTCGTCTTTACTACGGTCAACTCAGAGTTCGTAGCAGAGAGAATCACTCCCATGATTCCTCGCCAGCCTCAAAGTCGTCTGTTGTTATTGTTTTGATTGAGAGCCCCCCTTTCACTCAAGAAACAGTTTACCAGTAATTGAATTAATATTGATGAAAAAGTAAAAAATGTGCAAAATACTGATTTATCTTTGACTATGAAACTTCAGAAAACTTGCCGATTTAACATTTACTACAGAAACCCTGCATCTCCCAGAAAGTTAGAAAGTTTTTTGTCTTATAAATAACACTTACAAAGACCTGTGTGTAAGACTGTCATTTTTTTAAGAGATACCATACTGTGCATTTAAACAGTGTATCCATTGAGGTACTACTCCATATTCTGTTAGGTTGTCCTTTACTCTGACAGAAGGCGACTGTAGGAACATATTCCTGTCGGGGAAAAATCTATGTCATCGATTTGCATGTTGAACTGGAGCAGGACCTGAGAGAGGAATCCTTCAGGGAGAACTTGTTCTGTATGGTGACATCCTGGAGGTTTTTACATAAACGCTTAGGATCAAGTGACTGTTTGACTCTTGAAAGACATCGAGGGGGAAGAAAAGTTATGACCTTCTACCTCAACTCACTTCTTTCTCTTTTCGTTGTAGCACCATCAGATCGCGTCCCGCCCATCATCCGCCAGGGACCAGCCAATCACACATTAGCTCCTGGATCCACCACTCAGTTACACTGCCACATCATGGGAAACCCCATTCCCAGCATCCAGTGGGAGAAAGACGGGCAGAGGATTCTGGGAAACGATGGTCGAATCAGCCTGATGGACAACGGCACATTTCAAATCACCAACCTCCAGGTATTTAAAAAAGCAAATCATGTGCTTAATAACCAGTGTCTGTTGAACCCTGACATTGGAGGGGCAGACTACTCGCTCCTCCCCCCGACCCCTCCCGCCTTATTCTCCTTCGATGTAGTGCATCATGTGTGAACAGCCAAGTCAGGAAAGATTTCAGAGGCAGCCTGTCCTGACATTTTCTAGAAACTTTCAGAAGTGCATGTTTGGAAAAAGGCATGAAGCAGATATGTGTAAGGCTGCAGAGAGCTGAAATTAGGAGATGGTTATTGTTTATTTGTGGAGAATAGACTTGTTAAAGGAGTCATAATGGATGTTTTCCTGCAGCCCTTAAAATCAAATCCTGCAAAGTACATTTTAATTCCCAGACAGATACAATAAGAAATATTCCTCTCACATTCAGACCTTCAACTTAGTCTAAGTCAGTGTATTTTAATTCCATTGCATCACAGCTGAAAATGAACTCATTAAAATATTTTCATGATCAAAATGCGTCAATATTTGCACATCAAACACCATGCAGGCCACCCTGGATAAAACACTTCATTTTAATTACAGGGAAAGAATGAAGCTCTTAAACGAAGTATATGTTCACGATTGACTCAGACGATTAGATTAGATTTTATGAGTGGAGGAGCGGTTGGGAATGCTGCAAAAACCCGCATCTGTGAGGCGTGAGCACCCTGATAATGAGCGTGCGAGGCCATTAGCAGTCGTTAGCGGCGTCCTTCTCCGTGCTAATGAAATCCTTTCTGCGCACACTTCCCTCCTGGGTGCGAAAGCAGCACCTGAGGTCACCGCAGCCTCTGAGGGAGCCGAGGAGGCCCCGGCATGAATTGATTGTGGGTTCTCAATGATTAACGATCGCTGAGAGTCGTAATTAAATCCTCGATACATCACTGTGAGTGAGGACTGGATGAAAGAGAGAGAGAGAGGGAGAGATGGAGGAGCAGGAGGCTGAGTGAGAGGAGTGGAGAGGAGAGGAGAGGAGAGGAGAGGAGAGGGCGAGATGGAGGAGCAGGATGCTGAGTGAGAGGAGAGGAGTGGAGAGCAGAGGAGACGAGAGGAGAGGAGATGAGAGGAGGAGGAGATGATAGGAAAGGAGATGATAGGTGTGGAGAGGAGAGGAGAGGAGAGTACAGGAGAGGAGAGGAGATGAGAAGAGAGGATTGAGGGGAAGTATAGTCATGGAGTTGGAGGCCTATAATGTACATCATCTTCTGCGTTTACATCATGCGGGAATAAAAGGAACAGCTGGGAACTCGACGTGTTCATGCTTCAGAGGCCGTTTGAAGCTTTCAAGCAGCACGTTGAAGTTTCTCTGCAGGCTTCGGTATCTTTTGATCAGACTCTGCACAGAGAGCCGACATGCCCTCGGTGATGGTGGTGCGTTTGTTTTACAGCAAACAAAACAACAAATGCTAGTAACTGCTTTTGATCACAGATACGACAGCCACACTTTTTTCTTGCAGATGTTGATCTGTGCGCTTAAGTTTCTGGCCTGTCAGTAATTGGACACTCGAGTCCATCTCTTAAAAAAGGAAACAGGAAAGAGAAACATTGTTGCTGGGTTGACAATTTTTTTCCCAGAGCTGTAATGGTTCTAGAAAACATGACAAAGACATGACAGGTACTCTGGTGGTTCTCTGAGGCTGTACTTAGCATTTTAATGAACAGGTTTTTAATGTTAAGCAGGAAGGAAAAGTAGCACCATGTTCAGCATCTTAATCTAGTGTGTTGGTAGTTAACATAAGAACAGCTGAGACAGATGAAAGTGTAGATTTTGCAGGCATTTGGGGATGTTAGCTGTATTCACACATGCACAAAAACTGATAATGTCCAGACATTTTTACCCTGACTTCACCTGGACTTTTTCCTGCCAGCGCTCTGGTAAAAAAGTCAAGGTGAGCTGATGTGAGTATGCAGCAGGAAATATTCAGGTAAATTCACATGAGCGAGTGAGGGGGGGATGATGTTTACCTCATGGTGAGTGAACAGTGCAATCGTACTACTACTACTACTAAAGCACTTTAAACTGTGACTTTGCACATCTGAGTCCCTAAATAATCAGGCTAAGAAGACTTCTGCTTTACAAGTACATATCATTTTAGGATATAAATATAGAATTAAACGTCCACCCCTGCATACGTCAGTGACCAAAGTGCGCCCCCCCCCCCCAGTAAAAAGTCTTGACACACCCCTGGTAGAGACAAACCTCTGGTCTTTGCACTGACTTTAAGCAACATCTCTCTTTGCAGAGAACGGGTGCTAAAATACAGTCATAACCACAGGATTTTTATTTTTTATTATTGCCTTGCAGTGGTGAAAATGGGCTTTTTTTTTTTTTTTTTTACTTCTCCCAAACCCAAAACGAGTAATAGCCGTTTATTCCCCTGAGGATGTTACACATAAAATCCTACATATATTTATCCGTAGGTTAAATAAATCTGAAACATCCCTTTTATTGGAGCTTGGCAATGAATGAATTCATCTTCGAGAGAGAGAGAGAGTAGAACACATTAAACACAAAACATTACTACAGTCTTCCTTTTGCATGACAAGACAGAAAAATGAAATCAGCTTTAAAAGAAAGAGAAACATTTAACCCTGAAATCATCAATCTAAATAAGTCGATCTCATCTGGGCCCCAGGAGGGAGACAGATGGTCTGTTTGTTCCTCAAACCCTTGGCATGGAGGAGATGCCATTACCCTGGGATCTCTGCCAGACACACACACACACACACACACACACACACACACCCTCACACACCCTCACACACTCTGCTGTCCCTCACCGGTGCCAAGACGTCCTGGACAGACGGGAAGTGTGTATGTGTTTATGTGTGGGTGTGTGTGAGTATGCTAGTGGGGGGTTAAAGAGAGGTCCAGGCTGCCTCTCTGCTAAATGGTTGGTGTGGGTGTTGGATAAAAGTGGTTGTGTGGACGGCAATGTGGAAACAAAAAGCCAGAGGAGAGCGAGGAGGAGTGCGTGGTCAAAAGAAAATACATTACAGGTGAAAGCAGGAAGTCAGGTTCATGTGTTGACTTTAAATCCCAGTGTGCATATGTTAGAGCTTGTAATTACATTTCCCTTCTCCACGCTGTGACATCATTATCAACCTTCTGCTTGCTTGTTTTGTGCAGACAGCTGATACCCAGGCTAACTGGTTGGTTAGCAGGTGGTGGAAAACGAGACAAAGTTCACATCACTCAGTTTGATTGGCAGATGATTTCTGCAGGGTAGACGTGTATACATAAAGCAAACTGAATAGGACTTTTGGGGTTAGCTACAGACAAAGGACGGACCATTGACTGAAAAAACATCTCACTTTTAAAATGGCATTAGCAAAAAGGAATCATCTTCCAATGACGCTGTGACATTTAAAGCTGTCCTTAGCAACAATGGACGACATTAGCCCCTTTAGATATGGGAAATGCTGACTCAACATAACTATCTTTTTTAATGTAGAAAGTAGAAAGGTGGAGAGGTGTGCCTAAAACACGTCCACCTTGTCAGTCTGCCCCGGCCACACCCATAATTATGCAAATATATGAATACCATTTAGCCTTAATTCATTCTTTATAATAAGAAATGTCTTCAGGCAAAGACATTTTAAAACTATAATATGTGAATAAATATTCTCAGATTCGCTTTTAAAGCCTGGAGCTCTTCCCTCATGTCCTCCAGTCTTCTTCTCCCCTCATCCATTTTTCAGCAATCTGTTTCTCACAGCACTCAGAGCTGCCTGCCTTGATTAATAGTCAGGTGTCCCGGCTGTTTACCCCACCCACCTCCCCCCCTCTGTACTGACTCCCCATCCACAGATCAAACACCACCATCTGGGGACCTGCTCCCCCCCCCCCCCCTTTTAGTCAGAGGCATCATCAGCCGTCCCACAGGTCGGCTGAAGGTCAAGGCCTAAAGAGAGAGAGGAGGGGCAGAGCAGGGAGTTGAATGGGAGGAGAGTCACCTGTCCCTCTGTCCTGCAGGACGCTCTCTGACAAGCCACTTAGTCCTGAGTAATTCCTCTGTCAGTGTTACTGATGAGCCGACCGCCACACAGCCGAGGAAGAATGGCCGAGCCGCTCTCTGATAGGCTCGGCTCTGCACATCCTCTGCATAATGTATGAGGGTTTTTCAATGGGAGTAATGCGTCTGTGCTCACAGAAGAAGAGAATAAGAGAACACTGATTGTGTTCCTTGCAAATTGATGAAGTACAGGGGAGTGAAGCATCTCGCAGAGAAACAGATTAAAAACAAATTAAAAATGTTCCCAAACACTCCCACACACACCTGTACACACACACACACACACACACCTGTACACACACACACACACACACCTGTACACACACACACACACACACACACACACACACACACACACACACACACACACACACACACACCTGTACACACACACACACACACACACACACACACACACCTGTACACACACACACACACACACACACACACCTACACACACACACACACACACACACACACACCTGTACACACACACACACACACACAGTTCCACAGGAGAAGTTTAAAATGAGCAAGCATTCCCAGCATGTGCAGTTTAAATATAAATACCAGCAGTAAGCCCTCTTTGAACTAACTTGCAATGGAATTAAAAACAAGCTTTCAGTAAGAATAACTTTCTCAATGCAGGGACGTCAGTGTGGCTCAGTGGGTAGTGCTGGTGCACCATGTTCAGAGGCTACAGCCCTCTTCACCCTGGTCACAGGTTCAATTCCTGATCCTGACGCTGTGTGGTGCATGTCAACCCCAACACTATCTCTCCCCATATTTCCTGTTTCCCTATTTCTCTCCTGACGGAAACCCAAAAAATAAACTTTAAAGCATCTGCTCTGCATGCTTCTTTGAATTCCTCATCCCTAGAGGTGGTACGACCTACAGCTGATGTCAGATGTTAAAGAAATGCTTTAGAATTCCTGGTTTTAACATATTAGGAACAACTATTTCTCACAGCCAGTCAGCAACCGCTCGTTAGCTTTAGTTTGCAACTCAACAGAATTAAATTATGTCATCAAGAAACGCTCAACTTTAAAGGCACAGATAGAGTGCAGAGCTCTCCCCTGCAGAAAGAATGAATGTTATCTTCAGGACTATACTCATCCGTCTCTGCAGCTGCCTATGGAGGTCAAGAACAACACAACTGTGGAATGCATTTATGACAGTGGTGTGAAAAGAAAACATTTACAAGGCTCAATACAAACGAACGATACAAAGGCTACACTATGACTTTAAAGTAACATCCTTACAGATCTCATTTTACGTTTCTCTCTAAATCACATATTTGTAGAGAAACAGACTTGTGTAAATCAGTGACAGAAAACTCAAAGTACTTGGTCATTTTCGATTCTCTGATTTTTTGAAATTTTCAAAATCCAAAACAAAAAAAGCCTACCAGAATTTACATTTTCAGACACTTCAAATCCATTATTACCTCTGTACCTTTTCTGAAGATGATTTCCTTTTTAATATAGATGGAAATTCAACCTGATTGATTATTTTTGATGCATCATCATCTGTCCTTTGCTGCCTGGTGATGGTGATCATGTGTTCTACCTTCTCTTGGCGTGGGAGCAGCTGTGGCTCAGTGGTGGAGTCGGTCATCCCTCATGCAGGGGGTTCGATCCCATACCTTCTGCAGTAACATGTCAAAGTGTAACTTGGGCAAGACACTGAATTCGCAAATTGAATGATTATTTAGTACTGATGGTCACTTTACACGAGACTCGATAAGTCCATTTGCCATGTGAGAAAATCTGTTGTTGAAAATAGGCTAGACTTTCTCTTGATTTGCATATCGGTTAGATTGATGACAGACAAAAACAATCTATGCGTTAAAGACCAATCAGACCCAAAGCACGTCTCGGCTGTGTATATCTTTTGGTGTGTAAATGTATCATGTATTTATCAGGCAGACGTTTCAGTGAAGAAAGCACAAATGAACCTATGAATCAGTGTTCACTGGCTAATGAAGCACTTTGACGACTGAACAATTCTTCACACTGTGCATGTTGTTTCCAAAACTGGAGATGCAGAAGAGGAGATACTCCGTCTATTAAGCTAAATCAACAGAATCACATTCAGAGTCGAGGTGTCTCCACCTCTGTGTCACACTGAGAGATTCCCCCCGTGTGGAGACCCCCAACATCTCCTCTGTTGTAAGCAATTTCACAGCCTGTCTCGCTTTTGGCTCACCTCCCCAAACATTTAACAACCCGCATTCATGCGCACACACACACACACACACACACACACACACACACACACACACACACACACACACACACACACAGGCACAGGCACATCTATCACACACCTCTTAATTACATCTGCTCATAGCCCGTTCAGCATGCTAAGTAGCTGTTGGGTACAAAGACCCGACTCCTCAGACATTTTAGACTCTAGCTGGTCATTGAAATTCTGTCTTTTGATCCTCTAACTCCCCTCCTCCTCCCCCTCCCCCCTCCTCCTCCTCCTCTGCGCACAAATCGAGATGAAGAACATAAGAGCCACCAGCTTGACTTCATGTAACTCCACTGAGTATATATCATTTTAGAAATAACTACGATTGACAAAACATCAAAGTAGAAGCCGTTAATTAAAGATGTTATGATGAAGGAATTAAAATGCAAACAGTCATATGCATTTAACAATGATTGATGCCCGAGAGAGCCGCCATTTACGATGAAAGATTTAAACTCTCTCTCAACTGAACTTTGCTTAAAATATGATGCTGAAATTCAAGCTTACAAAAATCCATGATGTCCTTTCAGGTTTCTTTGTACTTAAGACCTGCATGCCTCTAAAGTCTAACAGTCTAAAACGGTGTATCAAAAATAATCAACATGTAGCTCTAGGGATCATTGTAGCCCTGCAGGGGGTACGTCACTCTTCTTTCTTTTTGTTGAATTATGATTGCCAGACATCCAAAATTCCTTAAAAATGAATCTCTCTCTCTCTGTGATGTTAAACAGTGAAGAGTCACTCGTTCGCTCTGTGTGAACATCAGCTCTATGCTCTGCCACATTTTATACACCTGAACTTCTCTCTGCTCTGAATTCTCTGCACAAACACTCGCCTCTAAGTAGTATGACATTTAGTCTCAATCACTGCTAATAAGTGCCTTAACATTGTACCACAGTCTCTCTCTCTCACACACACACACACACACACACACACATGCTCACACACACACTGAACTATTGATACACGTTTTTTCTGTTGCCAGGAAACGGACTCTGGAGTTTACACCTGCGTGGCTTCCAGCTCCAGTGGAGAGACGAGTTGGAGTGGAGTGCTCACCGTTAAAGGTAAATTGTCCGTGTGGTTTTTGAAAACATGCAAATGACAGCTCTGTGAAGTATGAGCATGAAACAACAGACAGCCCTCCTCATAAGAGACGCTTTCATTGAGCTGGAAATAGATGTGTCCAAAAACAGTGATTCTGATTATCGCTCTCCACTTCTGTTCATTTAGACTCAAAGAGGCTGTGTGACACTTTCACTCTTTTAGTTAACAGCCATGACAAACAAAAAGAGATGTAGGTTAGAGTGTGAGCACATTTAAGTGAGAGTGAAACTAAATATGGATGTGAGTTTTCCCTTTCAGTCTAAAAAGTCCATGTTTCTGCTAATACAATCATTTGCTCGATTTAAAACAAATATCTGAGGCTAACTGCTGCAGATTATAAATATAAACTGTAAACAGGAAGTGGATTTAGCCTCTTATGTGCAAATGCATTCTTTCTAATGTCCAGCAGGGGGTGACTCAATAGATTAATCTCAATGATTGGTCATGTCAGTAAACATGACTGTAATAACCTTTTTGTCTTAATCTTTACTTTGAAGTATTCTTCAACACAGCGTGTGTTTTGTAAATTAGGATGTCCATGACGCTGGCAGCACTAACAACCTCATCTTCAGTTTCTCTTGGGTGTTCATTGCTGCTAGGTTAGGAAAGTTGACTTGCACTTTCTCCGATAGTGACTGTTTTAGAAACCTCTGCATGCTTAGTATTTGCTTTTATTCAAGGAAATATCACCAAGAAAAAATGAAAACAATGTAAGGGAATCGTGTCCTTGTATTAGCAGCAGCTCTAGACTTAGAAATTGTTCCCTCGAAAAAGAGTCAGTTAAGTTTCTCCTCTGCCATTGTTGTTGAAAAAGCTGATATAAGAAGTCCCGCCCCTTCTTGATTTTGATTGGTCAGCGAGGGAGAAGTGGCATTCAGGAGAGTGACATCGATTCAAAAGTTGAACTACTTTTACCTGAGAGCGACGAAAACACGGAGCACTGAACTGCTTTGGTTTTTTATAGAAAATGGGCGCTGCCAGTGCAAAAAGCAGCATTAGTGGACACAGGCCCTGATGGTCACATTTTGAGTTACAGTGACGGTAATCATGTGGTGGCTGTGATTGATAAGTTGCCACTAGAATAGTTGGTATATCCTCTCATCAAATGGTGGTGGTGACATTTTCGCTATAAAAATCTAATTTTTTTATTTATTTATTTTTTTTTATTAGGTGCAATAGAGTGACAAACTGGGGACATATAAATAACAAATGAGGCACAAAAAAACAAACAGACAAGGTCAGGACAATAACTCCAAAACAGTAAAAAAAAAATAAAATAAAAAAAACAAAGACAGCAAACTACTAAGACATCAATAGACACACATCAGACTACAACCAGCAAATACATTACAAAACTATACAAAATACCTAAGAAAGGATACATCCTTTCGCTATGAAAATCTAAGATGGTGAACTCCAGTCTTTACAAGGGGTTGATCTGAAACCCAAATATGGCATCCCGCTTCTTATATTTATCTACTTATATATACAGTCTTTGGACCTGAGGTTGTTGTCGTGCAGGCTCTAGTGTCTGTGAGAGCATGAATGTGAAGAAAGAAGTTGTAAAAGAGCAACCTATACTTTCCTATAGCATTATAAATCAAGGTTAAAACATGCTGAGATATAACTGTGTGTTATATGGACTCTGCTGCAGCTCCAGGCACACAGTGTCTTTGAATCAGACGGTGCTTGGTGAGGCTGTGCCCCTTTTATTTCCTCAACAACCCATCAGGCGATTAGTGCGTCAGATATTTGAAGCTGCAGAGATTTCATTAGAGGTGTTTAATGAACGAGGAGTAATGACTTAACAAGCCGCTCTGATGACACGGAGAGTTTGTTATTCCACTGTTAGCGCCGCGATGCTTTGTTAACTTGTAATAGTCGACGTGAAAAAAAAACAAATTGTGATTAGATCCTGTGAGAAGTGAGGAAGTTAGCCTGCAGCGACACTGATGCAAATGTTCAGTCAACATTAACAGGATTACACAGAGGACATTATGAAACGAGGAATGCTAAAGGGGAGATGTTTTAGTTTAATCTGATGTGCTCATATTCTTCTCTCTCTCTCTCCTCCATCCTTTCTTCTTCTTTCCCACTTTCCTCTTCACCATGCAGACAGTGCAGACTCGTCGGCAGCTCAGACCACAGAGCCCTTCCAGCTGCCAGGTCCTCCACACAAACCCATCGTCACAGATGTGTCCAAGAACAGCGTCTCTCTGACCTGGCAACCCAACGCACACGAGGGAGGAGCCGCCGTCACCTCCTACATCATCGAGGCCTTCAGGTGAGGTTCACTGAATCTACGTCCCATCAGAAGTGAATGGAATCAACAATCAACAAACTCAGTTTTCCTGGGTTTTTAGAAAACCTTCAAGCTTGTTAAGGACAAATGATGTTTTTAAGCTCTCTGGTAATACGTTCATTACTCCCCGATTTAGCAGGAAATGTCCATTTGGGCTCATGGCTGCACTACTGTTTTAGGGCCATTAATCATGATTTCATGAGCTTACAATTTTCACACTCAAGTTCAACAGTGGCATTTTATTCTCAAAGGGTCATAGGTCAACATCACATTGACATACTATTGTCTGGGGAAAAAAAATAAAAAATCTGCCCTTTTTTTTTTTTTTTTACATCTGATTCTTGCTGGCACCATATTCAAGGAACACCTGCAACAAATACTGTCGCAATTTTGTTTCTGTCCAAGAAAATATTTCTTGAAAATAACAAAAGATGATGTCGAGACTGGCGGGGAATCATGGGAGTGGTTCAGTGGTATCTGCTGCTCTGACCCCCCACCCTGCGATGAAAACAAACTCGAGTTGACCATAGCGAAGACTACAGGCGAGGAAGAGAATGCATTTACAGACAATGTATCCAAGTATGACTGATATTACATTCCTTACATACAGTGGTCTTTGACGTAACAGTGTTTCCATGGCAACAATAAACTTGTTGTGTGTGTCATTCTACACAACAAGTATATATGAATCTGACTTCACCTCAGGAGAAGTTAAAGTTCCACCTGAGACTACGTCCACCTTGGTTTAATTAAGTTTAAAAAAATCAGATTTATCTGAGCGGGACGGCTGGCTCTGTGGACTGAAGGAGGGCCTCCAGATGAAGATAGGCAGCGTTCAGGGGGAAATGTGTCCTTCCTTTTCAATAAGGACGAGAACACCGGCAGAGTTTAATCAGATCCAGACGTCCACTGTGGCCCCGAGCAGCCGCCGAGCGTTTCCAAGTAACGCAGACTGATTCCCTTCAAAAGCAGCTGGAGGGGACCGCTGGGATGTTTACAATAACTTCGCCCTGCCTGAGGTGCTGAGGTGTGTTTGCTGGAGCACAGAGAGTGGCTGGTGTGTGTGTATGCAATGTGTTTGAGTGTTTATTTAATGTACAAAGGGAAGACTCTCTTTTCTCCGGGGGGAGTGTGCATTCATTTTCTCTGTTTTTTTGGGCCGCAGCCTCGTGTGTGTGTGTGTGTGTGTGTGTGTGTGTGTGTGTGTGTGTGTGTGTGTGTGTGTGTGTGTGTGTGTGTGTGTGTGTGTGTGTGTGTGTGTGTGTGTGTGTGTGTGTGTGTGTGTGTGTGTGTGTGTGTGTGTGTGTGTGTGTGTGAACTCCCTCTGAGCGTCCCCTGCACAACCTTGAATGCGGCGCTGGCACCGGGCAGTACACACTCAAAAGAGGAGTATTTGTGATGTTCAGTGCTGAAGCTAGTTCAGCATAAACCCCCGCAGTACCCCTTTGGGGAGAATCTAAAATGTGTCAAACAAATACTTTGGGAGGCCTCTGTGACTGCGGCTCTGCAGAGGGTGACAGTAAATTCACATTGAGGAGGAAGAAGAGGGATCCGAGGTTTGGAGGGGTTGACGCATCTCTGGGAGTGCCACAAGGCTGAAAACATGCCCTGGTTTCCTGACGGCAGCTGTGCCTTTCTCACAAGCCTCATTACATTATTCATGGGGAGAGTAAATTGTCTCATTTCGAGGAGATCTTCTGGTGAACACAAACTGTTCTGAACTGAGTGACTTTGCTCAAATCTGCTATTGTTTACCACATAAGCAATATTAGAGGAAGCTAAAAATAGATTCCCGTTATCGCCTGGAGATCTTTCCATGCATAAGTAAATTTTTGTAGCTGCACGTCAAATCAGCATCGCAAATCAATCTCCTGAATGCTGGGGGAAACTTGTGCAGACTCATAGCCTGTACTCCATTACAGGTCAAGTCAGGTCAACTTCATATTCATTGATCCACAGAGAAGGTATACAGCTAAACCAGGTGACCTTTCTCACAGAGCAGATGTTAAGAGAGCAGCAGTGCACATAAATAACTGACAAACAGAACAACAAGACAAAAACAGCTAAACGTTCTCTCTTTTTTTCCTTCCTGGCCTCTTCCTTCCTTTCTTCCTTCCTTCCTTCCTTCCTTCCCTTCTTTCTTTTCTACTTTCTTCCATCCTTCATTTCTTCCTTCCTTCTTCCTTCCTCCCCTTTCTTCCTTATTTCTTTCCTTCATTCCTTCTTTCTTTCTTTCTTTCTTTCCTACTTTCTTTCTTTTTTCCCATCTTGGTTTCTTCCTTTCTTTCTTTCTGTCTTTCTTTCCTGGATCATTTAAATTCATCATATTTAAAAAAACATGTTTATTATATCTCTAAATAAGCTCTTCAAGTGGACATATCAGGAGTATCGTATTTGTTTGGTAGATATATTATGATGTCATAAATGTAACATTAGTCTTTTCCCCTGTTCTTTTACAGCCAATCAGCAGGCAGCACGTGGCAGACTGTAGCCGACATGGTCAAGATAGAAACTCACACCATCACCGGCCTCCTCCCCAACACCATCTACCTTTTCATCGTCCGGGCTGTCAACGCCTATGGCCTGAGCGACCCGAGCCCCATCTCTGAGCCTGTCAGAACGCAAGGTGAGTCCACACACCTCCTACCCCCCAAATAAAACATGACTCCCATCCAGTTTTCTTAGGGTTAGGGTATAAAACACCACAGCCGGGGACGGTGTTAATGCATTAGCAGCAGCACTTTTTTAGAGGAGTGAAAATGTGTGTTTCCTCCTCTTCAGACGTGAGTCCTACAGGTCAGGGAGTAGACCACAGGCAGGTGCAGAGGGAGCTGGCAGAGGTGGCCGTGCAGCTGCAGGAGCCCGTCACGCTCACAACAGCGTCCATCCGAGTGTCCTGGACTGTGAGTGCATCTCTGATTTATTTAGGGGAAGACACATTTTAGGGCTTCAGTTCGGGTTTGAAATCATCATTTCATCTCTCTTTACACCTTTTCTCATTTCCTTCATTTTCCTCCAGGTGGACCGTCAGTCTCAGTACGTGCAGGGCTACCGGCTCTTCTACAGACCCAGCGGAGCGAACTGGCTCCTGCAGGACATCAACTCCCCCTCCGAGCGCAGCACCGTCCTCACCAGCCTGCTCAAGGGCACTGAGTACGAGATGAAGATCCGTCCCTACTTTGATGAATTCCAGGGCAAAGACAGCCGGACGCTGCTGGTTAGAACTCCGGAAGAAGGTAAGAAATAAAATGCGGCCTCAAAATAAACCCCCATTTAATTTCTTTGACATTGTGAGGCCTTGAAAGTGTTCTCTTCATTAGCCTGTCTGACACCACATACATCTCCATAATGCTATCTCATTTCAGGGTTAATTTTATATCCTCCCCCCGCTTAAATTCATTTATATTGATCCTATTTTCATTAAATTCAGCCTCCACACACGGAGATTCCTGCAGCCTGAGGTTCTCTGCAGGTTTATATATGGTTGATCCAAACTCTAGATTAAAAACAAGGGAACAGTCTTTTTTTTCTTTCTTTTTTTTGCCATCAGGGTTTATAGACTCTGAATCGACCCGCCTGAGCAGCTAAGCCTGCAAAAAAAGAAAGTTATTAACTTTTTTAAAGCACTCAATAAATCCTAATTTCCTCGCCTGCTACAGCTCACTTTCATGTTCCTTCACCAGTTTTTATCTCTGTTATTACCCCCGGAGACACTTTCAGTTTCTTGCAGTTTCAGTGTTTTGTGTGTTGATTAAATGACACAACTGCTGTCCACCTGTCCCCCCTCCCCCTCCCCCACAGTCCCCAGCGCCCCACCCAGAGGTGTCACAGTGGCAACGGTGAAGCTCAGCAACAGCTCCAGCATCAGCGTCTCGTGGGAACCTCCGCCCAGCGAGATGCAGAACGGCATCATCCAGGAGTACAGGGTAAAGACATGCCGGCGTGTTTCACTCATGAGCAGTGATCAGTGGGGCATTCATCTCCATACCGGAAGGTCGGGGGTTCAATCCCCAGCTCCTGCAGCCACATGTCCAATGTGTCCAATTTGTTCATGATGCTTCAGCAGCTGCATATGAATGTGTATGAATGGATTAGTTACTTCTGATGGACTCTTTACTCATCAGCCTCTACCATCAGTGTGTGAATGTGTAGGTGTGACCTGCAGTGTAAAAGCCCTTTGAGTAGTCAGAAGACTAGAAAAGTGCATTTACCATTATCATTGACCATCAATGCTTTTTATTTGAAGATGGCGAGCACCAAACACTCATACAGATATCACAGAGCATTCAGAAGAAATGACTGAAAAAAGCACAAATGGCTCACAGTAGCTTCCTTTCAGAGCGTGACCAACTGTTGATTTTAAAAGGGAAGTTGAAAAAAAATATATCAATGCCAACCCGATCATTAATTATCACACCAACAAAAAGCATGTAGACTCAATAGAAGTCGGGGCTACTGAAGGGCTATTGAAAAAAGGCTTCAGTGAAATTGCAGGAACATGACCCTCATATATTGTTCATTCGGTGTTCATGCAAAAGTAAATCCTCGACTGAAAAATAAATCTTGAGGCTGTGTTTCTGAGACTTCAAACGCAGAGTTCAGCACTCTGGTTAGCGGCCCCGAGTTCAATGACGACTGTACGTTCAGCACAGGGAATATCGGACTGGGCTTTGATGTCGTTTGAACACATCAGATATTTCAGCCTGTAGTTGACTATTTCATCAGTGAATGAAAAATGCTAATTCTTCCTCAAACAAGGAGCATAAGACTGACAGTATCTAAAAGATCCCACCAGGGGCCCAATGAGCTGAATAACAAAAGAAACCCTCTCCATGTCTCCGGTCAGGTTTGGTGTGTGGGCAGCGGAGGCGGAGACAACCAGACGAGAAACTTCATCAACAAGACGGTGGACGGGATCACGTTGTCCACGATGCTGAAAGGTCTGATGCCCGGGGTGCTCTATCAGGTGGAGGTCGCAGCGGTGACCAGCGCTGGCGTCGGCACTCACAGCCAGCCGGTGTCTGTCCTCTTCAGTGAGTCTACCGTGACAAAAACAGAGAGATGGACAACATGGAGATGTGCCAATGACAAACACTTTTATGAAGGAATGTTAGAGGGAACAAAGTTAAAGGTCACATGTTATACTCATTTTTAAACAAGTTTCTAAAAGTCTAAAAGGGGCCCAAAACATGTCTGGGAAGTTTGTAGCAAAAACAAATCCTGTTTCTGTGTCTGTAGCTTTAAATATGCAAATGAGCTGTGTATGACCACGGCCCTTTCTGGAAGGGTTTGGGTGTCTCAGGCTTTCTCGCTCCATGTCCTATTGTTTACGGTGAGAAGGCAGACTCAGAGGGCAAAACAAATGCTGCTAGCTCCCACTATCTGTGGGAGTGTCACCCACCTGGGGGAGGGGCTACTGCCCTTTGTGATGTCATGAAGGGAAAATCTCCAAACGGCCTGTTTGAGCATGCATTTTCTGAAAAGTGGAGCAGACAAAAGACGGAGAGGATGGACTTTTCTTTTAATTGAAGGGTTTATAGACCGACTAGGGACACATATTAGTGTCAGAAAAACATGGTAAAGTGTATTTTCCATCAATATGTGACCTTTATTGATCTATTTTGCTTGTCGAATGGCCATTTCTTTTTGGTTATATCGATTCATGGTCCCCAGAGGATGAAGTCTGATGTCTTTGATCAGCCTAATATTTTCATTTTCATACTTTTATCGCCATCACTTGTTAGACAATTTAGTTTTAGTAAAAAATGGAATGCCATGCAATTTTGTGCATATATAAAAATTGTCCAGAGGATGATTCCTTGGGTTCATTGGGTTATATATTTACTTTTCATCTAGCACCCCCCATTGGGTACAACTATCAACTCACACTGTGATTTAAAAAAAAGAATCAAACATTTTGTTAATCTTGATTTCTACTATTTGGTATTAGCACTAGGCTCCATGTATCATGCAGGTTCAACATGGTTAGCATTAAGCTAACAGACAATGTATTGTAAAAAGTGAAGGTGCACAATTTAAACAAAGGAAGTGTATGTAAGTTGTGTAAAATAACTCAAATCAAAATCCTGAGTGAAAAAAAAAAAAAAAAAAAAAAAAGGGGTCCCTTCATGAAAGGACAAAGAAAAGTGCTGCAATTGAATTATTTTCATATCATTGAAATTTAGCAGGGGCAGAGAGCGATTTAGTTCTTCACATCCTTTAACATTGTAAACATTTTTCAGTTAATAGTAAGACAACAGTCAACAGTTCATCATACGTTCCCCTCCCTTATTCTTTTTTTTTTTATTCTCCCCCCCCAGAGTTACCAGCTGAACAGCCCTCTGTGTCAGGCGGCGGTGGCACCGGTGACAGCGGCGAGGAGAGCAGCGTGAGCCTGGCCGAGCAGATCACCGACGTCGTCAAGCAGCCGGCGTTCATCGCGGGCATCGGCGGAGCCTGCTGGGTCATCCTCATGGGCTTCAGCGTGTGGATCTACTGCCGCCGCAAGAAGAGGAAGGAGCTGAGCCACTACACGGCCTCCTTCGCCTACACGCCGGCAGGTGAGGGGGAGTGATGGAGATGTGAAGCGACGTGTTGTTGCTAACTCACCTGAGGCTCTTTGTGGACGCGGTCTTGTGTTGATGCTGCACAGATTAGTCATGGAGAGAAGAATTCGGATTGGAGCCCAAAGAATTCCACCTTAAAAAAAGAACATGGATTAGAATGATTAACTTTTAATGTGAAGGTTAAGGTAGCTACATTGTGAATCTCATATAGACCATATTTAGCCTGGAGCGCCTACCAGACACTTATGTGTTTCTACATGTCACTTCAGACTGTACATACACAGTTTACAGCAGTATTTTTACTGCAGCAGTGCGTGCTTTTCGAGATTTGTTGCAGGACTACAGGAACACAGAGTTGAATAATTTAGTCGTGTATTCTCAGTGTAGCTGTAACAGACACGATCGGTACACAGCAGATACTTCAAACTGCTGCAGACTCGTCCAATGAGAGGAACTGAAACACGTCCTTTGAAATGAGAAATGCTGATTTATTGAGTGATGTGAGCATTGTCCCCCAGTAAGTCATTAAAATGTAACACTTCTGAGTCAGTTCACTCACATCCTCCTCATCACACTGTTGCTGTTTTTTTTTCTTCCTGCAGTTGGTTTCCCTCATGGAGAGGCATCAGGACTCAATGGAAGGTAATTGAATATTTCTCACATTCAGGCCCTGGCCTCATTCTATGATGTGATGAATTAATTAAAGTCACAGTCATGCCGGACAAGGGTTTCCTCCTAAAAAAGTATGCAACAAAGAAAGCAAAGAGAACAGTCTACACCTGCTCTTTTTATAGTGTTTCAAGATAACTTTTGTTCAGACTTGGCGGGATACAAATGAAGACTTATTAATAAAGATTTATTTGCAGGCGGTGAACTTAAACGAGTCTCAAAATGACTCTCCAGTGCTCATCTTTAACAAGGCTTTACTGGCAGGTGGATTATCCTCAGAGTTTCATTTCTAAAGAAAGAAAGACCAAATTATTGAAGGAAGAATGTGCAACATTTCACACATAAGTATAGTAGAAATTCAGTATATCCTCTGTAAATATCTCTCTGAGTCATGGCTGTCTACAAAGAGTGAGAAGTGTGAGTCCCGCCGGATGTGTTGTTGTCAGCGCCGTGTTGATGTCATGTTTACAGCCAGCTCATCCTCTCGCTTATTAAAGCTGATTTAGTCAAGGACTAGAGAATTGAAGAATAACATACTCACTCCTTATTTGGATGTCACATGAGCGTTTTTAGATCATGGTCATTCTGTGTCAATTAATGTGCATTGTGAAGCTACGAGCTAACTAAAGAGCGCTAACACAACAATTGCAGCACAGGTAATTGCAGCAAGTGGTGGACAATTTTGTCAGTATATCAGTATCAGGTTGGAGGTGTGTGGCTTGAGGAAAGCTGAGCTTCAGTATTGCGGCCGTGTCACCAAACAGAAGTTGGTTTTGGTTTCATGCTGGTGCTCAAGGGCGACATCTACTGGATCAAAAAGTTGCACATTCTTCCTTTAGCATCTGGAAAATACTTAATAAGAGTTGTTTTACATGCTGTTTCTCTGATGCTCTTATTGGGCAGATTCAAGATGTTAAAAGGGGGCTGCAAGCTAAGCTGCTGCTAGTTTACATGACTCAGCTTGATTTAAGAGATCGGGATTCTTGTCTTGTTAAGAGAGTAATGTTATCTGCAGATGTCTTCTTTTCTCCGAAGTATACAGACACCGTGATAACAGCCTTTAAAAACACTAATGAAAGCAGTTCAACGCTCATCGTCTCCACAACGCTGTTTGGCTGAGCTGTGGGAGGCTGGTAGCTGAGCTGCTGCTAACGTTGACTTTAGCTTCATTTTTAGCTAAAAATCTTTGAACCGGTTTAACGGAATAGTTGAAAAAAAAACTTTGAAGTGACTGGAAACACTAAGAAGGTGGATCGCTGGAAGTGCACTTGAGCTTTACAGGTTAAACATGAGGTCCATGATATTTGAGTTTTGTGTGGAGCTGAACTGAAAAATGAACCAACAGTTGAAGCTTTATATTTTGGGACAGCCCAAACTAGTTGAACTAACCAGAGTCTGAGCCAGGTGCAGACCTAGACTGGACTGATGTTATGAATGTTTCTCACTATCTATACATGCAGCTGGTTTCATTTCCACCTGCATATAGTTCTTGTTCTTCTCGGTCCCATCATGCTTTAAATTAACACCAGGATGTCTCCATAGGCCGGGCGTGCTGGGAGGCAACATGGGCAACTACCCGTGGCTGGCCGACTCTTGGCCTACCACCAACCTGGTCCACAGCGGCAAAGAGGCCGTCAACTGCTGCAGCACCAACCACAGCACCGCTGAGAGATACTACAATGGTAGGACACGGCTTCAACTAAACACTGTGATTGATTCCCAACAAAGCAAACACCCTCTCTATATAATATCTTCTCCTTTCCTGTGCAGAGGCTGGCATTTCCAACTACCTGAATCAGACGGAGAAGTACAGCATCGGAGGCTCCACCGAAGGGCCGATCTACAGCACCATCGACGCCACCAGTGAGGACCTGCACAGCTTCACCTACGCCCAACACAACTCCACCACCCCGTACGCCTCCACCTCCATCATGCCCTACAACAACCAGACACAGACGTCGGCCCACAGCGGAGAGCAGCAGGACGACGGCCACTGGATCATGCAGCCGGGACCCTCCGGAGCTCAGTACGCCCAGCCGGACCGCTGCAATGGTGAGGGAGAGCCGCGGGGACTTTTTACTGTCTTTGTTCAGTGTAGACGCATGTTGTAGTTACAGCAGAGCAGATTCAGCTCAACACGTTTTTAGTTGGGTTTTTTGTGCATCTTTAATCCCCTTAGCCCTTTTTCTAGACCCGACAGCTCTTCTGACGTATCACTGCTTCTTACTCTCAGTGTCAGGAAGATACTTCAACACAGCTACTCAAGCCACACATTATTTTACACAGCAAGAAGGAAAGCAACCAGGGAAGACAAATTGTTTGGGCTAGATAGAAATGGTCTTTGCAGCTTGTTATCACAGCATTCAAACTAAGCCCCTCCTCCTGGGCTCATCGCCCCCAGAAGTGCACACTCACTGCAGGACGTGATGTATACATTTACTGTTTGTACATAGACTGCGAGCTAACACATGCTAGCACAAGCTAACCATCGGCGTTTGGCACCTGCCTGTCTAACAAGAAGCAGGCCAGCTCCATGTGGAAGCCGTTTTAGAACGAGCTTTGTCCCCATGGCATTTCACTATGATTATATTCTCTCTCCTTTACTATGTCAATGGCTGAATTGTATCCACTCCTAAACTCACCTGTGGGAAAAGATTATCATTAGTTTTTTGGTGAAGTTATTGTTCAGATAGCCTCAAACTATGCTTTTCTGTTTGCCTGGTTGTCTAAACTCACCTACATGTACTGTCTGTATATAGAAGTGTAAGTGCTGCACACAGAAAGGAGCTTTTTTGAAAGGAAAAATTCAATCTACTGTTTTAAAAAAAATCCATTGTATTGCTTTTTTTAGCCAGAATTGCTCATCCCTATAAATGTATTTCAGCTTGTCTGGAGGTTTGACCCTCTGCCCTAACTTGATCAATAATACAAAGTCGCCTCCTCAAATTAACTCAGGGTGTTTCTGTCTTTTTTCTTTTTTCAGGTAAGCCGAAGCAGAAGGCGATGGGGAAAGCTGTGAAGACCCCGTCTCTGACTTGGATGGAGTCGTTGCCCCCTCCTCCTCCCATCGGAGAGCTGGAGCCGTGTGAGCAGGACGAGCTGCCCCCTGAGCACGAGGACATGGACATAGGGTGAGTCAGACATCTCTATAAATGAATCTTAACACTGACAGTAAGTAGCAAACCCTTACATGGCTCTAACGCCTCTGGCTTTGAAAACATGAATTACCTCAGCTGTGGACGATCGCCTCAGCAGTTTAGCTGTTTTTTATGTCTTTGAACACAATTAGCCGTGTTCCCACTCAACAGTCGTTCTCTGAAACCTCAAAGCAGACTATCATTCAGGATCACAGCAGCGCTCCCACCCAAGTGGAAGCTTAGCCTCCTGCAGTTTTTGCCGACGGCAAGGCCCTATAACTCGAGCAGAGCCTGAAAGAACAGCATTAATCTTTTAGTGGCCTCATAGTGAGCTGGAATTAAAGAGCAGCAGAGAGACAATAGGCTGCCCTGCTTTTAAAAACACACACAAACACAAAGGTAAGATCCAGCTCTGTTCTCACACTGCAACACCTCTCTGTTTGTGTAGCTCCGATGAGGAGTGGTGCCCCCCCCTCCCAGAGAGGACCTATCTGATGGAGGGCTGCGAGGACGGACCCCCTCCGCCTCAGAGGAACAACGCCTCCTCTCCGGCCACTTCTTACAGTCACCAGTCCACCGCCACACTCACCCCCTCGCCCCACGAGGAGACCCGAGCCCCCCACGACCTCCCCCGCCTCAACCAGCTCGACAGCCAGCAGCTGTCACGGTATGCTTACAAACTCTGCACATAACTGTGACATGATGGTTGTGAATCTACTGTGTGTTTGTGTTTGTGTGTGTGTGTGTGTGTGTGTGTGTGTGTCTGATTGAAAAAAACAGCTTTAAACATAGACTGTGTAAAACATGGACGTAGTCTCAGTGATGTCAACCACTGGTTTCTGAAGAGGCGTTTTGAAGCCAAAAGTAGTTAGTAGGGACAAAATATTTCCGTCAAATTAAAGGGACCGGCATTTGGCTCCTTTCCCTCATGTCGTTCCCCACTCTCCCTCTCCCTGATTTCTGACTCTATTTCCACATTAAACAACTGAATACACTCGTGGGTTTTTCTGGTACGACCTCTCTTGGTCTTCTATGATCACTAGCCTTAGGTGGATCAGTTTGTCTTCAACTAACAGTTTGTTTGATTGACATTTAATCTACTGAAGTAGTTTTTTCATTGAATGATTTATTGTTTAAAATCATAAAAATGTTCAAAGGTTGTTGTTATAGAGCTCATCACAGTTCCCCCAGAGGCTCAATCAACATCCTAAAATGGCTTCTTTTGTCAAAACAACCGTCAAAGCTGAAACACTTTTCTTTTAAAACAAAAACACAAAATAGCAAAAAAGCCATAAATTCATGCATTGGAAATGCTTCAACCATCAAAATGTTGACCTTTTTTTGCACATCGAAGTATCTGATGAAGTAGCTGCAAATATTCACCAACCGATATATGAAATGACATTCAGGGAAACTGACATCATTGCTTGTTTTGGTTGTTTTTTTTATACTTTTTTATACAAATGTATCCTCATGTAACATTGTTAACCATTACTGTTCTCGCTTGGCTAGATGATAAACTAAACATTTAAATAACAATGAAGTGTTCAACTCAAAACAAGAGCCAAAATCACAAAAGCACAAACACAGGAAGAAAACAATATAATACTTCCTTTAAAATCTCTCTCTGAACCATTTTTAGCCTCTGATTCCTCTGGGTCTGTCCTCTCCAGTAACATGTTGTCCTCACTTCCCGCAGCAGAAGGTTACCCTGCGGTCCGGTGCCAGTTCCCCAGGCGCCAAGCCCGACGCTCACCCAGTCCAACCCCAACCTCTCGGGCCAACAGCATCACGGCTCATCAGAGGCTGGCACGCTGCAGTGCCAAAGTCCCGCTCAGCGCTGCCTCAACGGCCCGGGGCCAGCACTGAATGAAGACAACGTCAGCATCAACACACCGGGTACTGAGACTGCTGCAGCATGAGAGCAGGGGAACAAACCTGCATTAAAAACACACAAGAAACACACACTTACAAGCTCACACAAGCAAACAAGGGCTGCACTTTTGACACATGGTTTGGGATTTAAAACATTTGCATGCACTATATAAGGACAGAAAAAGGACAGACATCTTCAAATGTGCAGAAATATAGAAAAATTATAGAGGTGCCAGGTCACTATCTGAGTACTGCTGAGGTATCCTTGAGCAAGGCGCTGAACCCCCAGAAGCTCTTTTACACTCCCTTTGTAGCAGTGTGTAGCAGCCCCACTCCGACATCTCTCCACTAATGCATCGCCACACGTCCTGTTTGTACATGTGTGTAATCTGGGCCGATGTGTGAGAAGCATGTATAAAACAAAATTGAAAATTGAAGTGAAAAAATCCTCAGGACTCATACAATGAAATAATAATTGACCATGTACAAGCCCAAGTCCATTTACCATTTCATTGTTTTTTCTTTAAAATTCCAAATGTATATATAAACTGAAAATATATATGATTTATATGAAGTGTTTTCTTTCTCTTCCCTCTCACAGTCCACAGTCGCTCTCCAGCAGATTCATGCACTCCTCCAAACCAGAAATCACGAGTGAAGAAAAAGGTGTCCAAGACGTCCGCTTACAGAAGAGATATACAAGGAGGTGAGTGGACACACTTCAACCATATCTCTAACTTTTCTTGTTTTAAAAAAAATGCAAGAAAATGAAATTGAGATTGTGACGCTGCTGTCAGACTTCCAGTGCACTCAGAGGCTTAATTTGCAGCTGCACTTCTGAAAAGAACATCGTATCCATGCTGCAGTTATGAAAATGATGTAACTGTGTGTTCAGTACACTTTGTCATTGAGTGAGGATATACAGCCCATAATAATCCAGCATGTACCCACACATATTGTGCAGCACAAATCTGTGATTAAAAATCTACAGCTCTGCTCCACATGTAAGACGTAAGCCTTATTTCACCAGCTCAAAGTCAGAGTTAATTAAATTCAGCCTGTTATCCAAAACTGTAAACACAGATATAGCTAATTATGCATGAATGAAAAAAAGACAAACACAAACAAAATGATCTGTTTTTAGAGCACTAAGAGGATGTTATGTAACAGAAACCTGCACTCAAATGAGATAAAATGCTACATGCAGGAAAACATTGACCCAATTCTTCATGCATGCTCTTCCTCCACTTGTGTCTGTTCAGACCTGCCCCCACCTCCGGAGCCCCCCCCAGAGGAGGACAGGTTGCGGGGCCTTCAGGGGAGTGTCGAGGGCAGTAAAGTGGTGAACGGAGCCGTGTCCTCCCTGGAGAGGAGCGAGTACAGCAGCAGCAGCCACCAGCGCAAAGGATCGGGACAGAGACACACAGACAGTAAGACAGAGTTTGGCACACATTTCATTTTTCAGTCTTAATTCAGTTTAAAGGAAGCGGAGTGTGTGGGTTCCTGCTGGAACACATCGCTCTTGTAACCACACTCAGATTTTTCCACATTTATGGTTCACAATGCTCTACTCTTTAGCCCCTTTCACACATACACCACACTCCTGAAAGCATTTTTCACCCCCGATCAGGGCTTTTTCCTGCACTAGTAAAATATGTGGTCGTGGTGATCTGAGGTGATAATATTCAGGAACATTCATGCTACTTTCTGCTCACCCTGATGTTGATATGGTGAATATGTCCCGTTACACTTAACACAGATAGAAAGGAAAAATAACTGCCATCAAAGCGTCAGACTCTGTTGCATCGTACGCCATCTTGGATATGTTGCAACATTTAAAATGTGACTTCTGCAGCATCCTTTTGAAGTCATGAGGAGAAAAAGGGAAAAATCTCCCGCTGTGAGGGACATGTGTGAAAGGAGAAACACTGTGAAAGTGTCAGGGGGCAGGCTGTTTTGAAATGCACGAGAGAAAAGGAGCTTCAGTGACAGTGTGCCAGATCATTGTTTACGAATGACCTCGCCATGAATGCAGCTGGGACAAAGCAGGCATAGATGATGCCAAGGTGTGGGTCTGGAAATGCCCAAATTCCTACGACATGATGCCTCGCTGTAGCCAGAAGTAACAGATAATGACAGTTCCCTTTGCCAGAATTAAATATATACAAATAAAGGAATTCAAAATGTCATTTAGCACAGACAGAATCAAGCCACAAGAAGATTTAAAAAGTCATTTCTCCAGCAGATACACCACAGTTTGAGGCTAAATCAAAGCTGCAATGCTTGCTTTTGAAAACAGTGTTTCAAAAGCGATCTCTGTCCAAATAAGTGTTTAAGAACTAATCTCTGTGTATAACAAGATGTCTGTAAACTTTTCACATTACTGTTCAGGTACACTGGGAATTTGCCCGCCCAGCAAAAAGGCACTAATCTAAAATAGTGTCACTCAAAACAGGGCTGACCCCACTGCTGGACGTTTGAATCACTTAAAAATTAGCTTTCCTGCTTCACAGGTAGGCAGTAGTAACATTTTAAAGTGCTGAAGTTAAGCATTCAGTACAACAGCAGCTGATACAGACCAACAAGGTCAACAGCAGCGTCCATAATCAGCTGTTCATGATGAATTAATTTCTGCAAGTCAGAGCGTTTGTTTATCTACCAGGAAGAGGTAAAGATAAGGGTGTGATGAAACAGGAAAAGGATAGGCTGGGCTGATCCAATCAACATGCTGATGTGAATGTCTGTGTCATCACTTTATAAAAGTCTCTGTTTCTGATCATACAAAGCATTTCAAACCGAAACAGGGTCAACAGCATTTGTTAAGTCTCTGTTTTAATTCAATTCAATTCAATTTATTTGTATAGCGTCAACTCATAACAAGTGTTATCTCAAGACACTCAAAAAGCAGGTAAAAGACCTTACTCATTGTTATGTTACAAAGATCCGGCCTATCCATCATGAGCGCTTTAGCAAAGCAGCAAAAGTTACAGTGGTAAGAAAAAACTGTCTTATTAAAAGGCAGAAATCTTCTTTTTTAGGGGCTTTAAAAGCTGCAGTGAGGTGAATGCTTGGCATGAGGTAACTCGTTTTAAAATGAAAATGTATGAGTGTGTGAACAGGCATATATTAACCTTAATGTTTCCACTTAGACACATTTATGTATTTTCAACACCAGACTCAAAGTCCTCTCTTTTAACCCCATGTTGTTCCTTGTCTTCAGATGAGGACGTGGTGGCGTACAGCAGCACTAAGGCCGGGTACCTCTCCAGGAGTCAGATGTCCAGTAACTGCTCGACCACAGGAAGCTCCTCCTCCAGAGGCTCGACGGGCTCCCGAGGGCTCAACTCAGCCAGAAAACACAGCGAGGTACGCTGAAGCAACACCGATGATTTCATAACTTGTGCAGAAACGTTCTCTTCTTCCACCTCAAACGGTCTGAATAATTGATGCTTTTAGATATTCATGAGGCCGGGGAACAAAGAAGAGCCATGGAGACGCTCATGTGCTTTAGTTTTATCTACACATCATTACTCACGCTCCATAAAACACACATAATCTTATACGTGTGGGTGCATGAAAAGAGCCTTCACAGTCCCCTATTGCCCACACACACACACACACACACACACACGCGCGCACACACGCACACACGCACACACGCACACACGCACACACGCACACACACAGTGCTACCATTACCGTTGACTCACAAAAGGTTGTTACAGTAAGAAACTGCGTTAAGTGCGCACGCCCACCACTCTCCCTCTCTCTCTCTCTGCATGCACTTCAGAGACAGCTCTTCACTGTTGGAGCGCTCCTTTAAATGCCCCCCCGCAGGCTCCCTCACAACGGGCTGCTGTCTTCAACAGCAGAGCGAGGCGAGCCGGTGAACAGGACGCTCTGCGGGGGGAATAGAGTGAGTGAGACAACACTTGTGAACAGTGGTCCTCTCAACGTTCCTGTAGGTAGACAGAGGAGGCAGCTGAGAGAAAGTCAGTTTATGCAGCCATTGGTCCTCCGTGTTGAGCTTCTTCTGTACACACATGTGAAAACATATCAATATGTGACACGCTGACAGATAAGCTGCTGCAAAAAACTTGAACTGGCGACTGTCGGGTTCCCAACCCAAAGTCCATACAGACTGAGCTCCTGCCGCTCCAGCATATTAAGATTGTAATTCATGTTCAACAACTTCCTAACTTAATATCATTAGGAGGTTATTGAGGGCAAACTCTTAGTTAATGACCTATAAGCTGCAGCTACAGCATCACACAAAAAACAAAACAACACAACTGCTGCTAACATTTTTTTATTGCTGCTGCTATTTTATTACAAATCTGTACCGGTATATTTTATTTAGACATGTCTATTGCTGCTACTGTGTACAGTATATTATTTGTATATAACTTGTGTTTTTTATTTTATTTTTTGTATCTGTGTGCTGTTCTATCCTTTGGTGTTACCTGCTGCTGGAATCTGAATTTCCTGAGGAAAGCTTCCCATGGGATTAGTAAAGTTTCTATCTATCGATCTATCTATCTATCTATGTAGAATAAGGTGGCTAATGACTAATAAGGAGCCAGTTTGCTACAAAGTAGCATGCTAATAAGCAACTAGTTAATGGTGAATATTGTCACCATAATTTGAAGTGTTACCCAGTTTGAATATAGCATGCATGTTTAATTTGATTTAACCAGGTAATTAACCCTTTGATATTAAGATCTTTTTCACAGGATGACCTGTCCAAGAGGGCAGCAGATTAGATTTAGATTTATCTTTATTGTCATTGCATGATGTACAACAAAACTCAGTTGAAGCAATCCTGTTTGCAGCATGTAAAATATAAAATATAAGATAAGTACACATACACCAGCACAATCCAAGCACATCTCACCCATACCCACATACACATTCATACCCGTAAAGATTTGTAAAAATGCACACATCATAATACATATTACATGATTAGGAACAGTTTAATAACAATAAGTTAAGAGTACACAACAATTAAAATGTTCAAATCGATTAGCAGGTATAATGCAGGAGTTGTGTACGCAGGATAACAATGAAAAAAAAAAGGCTCTGTCCAATGGTCTCTCATGTTTAGACAGATAGAGCCAAAGGCTTCAAGCAAAAGGAGATCTCGGGTTTCAAGTCATATTGGAGAAATTTCCATGCAGATGGTAAACTAGACACTCTTCTGTGCGGACACGAGGAACAGACAGTTTTCTATTGATTTTATTTCAATCTTGACCTTTGTTAAATCAGCAAAACCACAAGAAAAGATTCTAATTCAAGTCAAAGTCCTGCACTCAAAATGTTTCAGTGAACTAGTTTTGTCTTGAACTGTAAACGTTTAACAAAAATAACTTTTTTGGTTTTGGTTTTATGTTTATGTTGGTTTTATGTTGTGCATCATCATGTCATCAGGCTCATTCATTCAATATGTAACAACATAACATCTTCATGTAAATGAAACCACAGTGTATCTCTCCATACTGGGTCAGATGCAGATGAAAACACATCATGTCACTTAAGTCAAAGTACCTCAGCACTGTTTTAAAGTGACCTTACTCATAATTTGATTTGAGAACTTAAAGGCAACAGCAGTTAAAGAGTTCCACTCTCTGCAGAACAACCAGACAGAGTGTGAGCCATCATGAGTTTGTCTTTATGAGAAACAGAGTGAAGCACCTTTGATGCTTCTTTAAGAGCTTAAGTTGTTAAATGTACACCCAGTAACCTGAGGCGTCGTCATAAAGCTGCCTGTGTGCAGACAGAGACAGAGAGAGAGAGAGAGAGACAGAAAGAGAGAGAGAGAGAGACAGAGAGAGAGAGAGAGAGAGAGGGAGAGACAGAGAGAGAGAGAGACAGACAGAGAGGGAGGGAGGGACAGAGAAAGAGAGAGAGGATTTCTCCTTCACGGGTCGCTCCATGTTGACCTCGACAACACATCTGACATGGGAGTGTAGCAAAGACACCAGTAAAAGTGACACACACACACACACACACACACACACACACACACACACACACACACACACACACACACACACACACACACACACTGCTTCGTTCCATCTCGTTCCCCTCAGGTCACCCCCCCGTTGAGCAGTCAGGACTATCTGACCCCCCTGTTAATGACCCTACCTGACCCCTCCCGGCCTTTTTCACGCCTTCCGGAGAACATGAAAGTGTGACCTCCTGAGTAATAAATTTGGAGGTGTTTCCACAGGAAGTCTGGATCAGGTTTCCCTGACTTCCTGTGGTGTTACTGACTGTTATCTCTCTCTCTCTTTGACCCCCCCCCCCCCCCCCCCCGGGGCGGCCGGTTGCTGGGGAAGTTACGGGAGTTTCTGCTCCACCGCTACCTCAAACAGTTTGTTTGTGTTTTTGTCAGTTCCAAGCTTCAAATTAAAGTCACACAAACAGTACAAACAAATGAACCAATCAAGGACCAGCTAGATGATCAACACCTGTTTCCTGATTGGTAGAATTGGTAAAAAAAACAACAAAAAAAAAACAGTTTTGGTTGAGTGAGACAGGTGGCTATTGAGAGATCTATGAAATGGCTTTTTCTGTTTAAGGAGGCACTCACAGTAGGTCCTGTTGTCCCGTGCAGTACTGAAGCACCTTTATCCCCCCTCCCCATTCCCCCGCTGGCCTGCACCCACACTGCTCCAGGACTAACCGGACCTGAGCATGTAAAAGGGACTACATGACATCACATTAAAATACATGTATGGCTCTATGTGACATCTACTTCACTGACTTTGTGGCTTATTTTGAGTCATTTTAGACATATACAGCTAAAACACTTTTTATGATGGGATTTCTTGATGATAGAGGTCTGTCAGCGTTTCATGCCCGTGCCTGTTGTGCATGAATGGTACCGTTCCAAAGAAGACGTCTTCCAAGCATTCAAGAGCCAAATAAGTGTTTGAATGGAAAACTCACACTAGTCGAACAAACTTGGACTTTGAGGGTGAATTGACTTGATCACGGTACAGATTACCTAGTGTGAGTGCGCCCTAAAAAAGGATCTGACACTTCAGCAAAAAGTCTAACTGTAAGAATCATTTTCTCAAAACACTCTGGGCCTGTCGGTGTCAAAGACAGGTTTTAAGAGGTTGTATACGTTGATGGAGGTTAACTGCTCAGAAACATTAAGTTTCCTCGTTTCTGTCTCTATGCACTGTACTGGTCTGTTAGACACCAATATATGTACCAAAAGAAAAGCCCAGGTTTAAAAAATGAATATCTACTCTTTGAATATTTCATCTCAATGTCTCCTGAAGCTGCTGAAGTTCCCTCTCCTCCCAAATTCACTTCAGCCCAAGAAGTTTTTAAAGGCTGTAGAGTGCTAACTTTAATATAAACGTTGTTGTTCTCCGAGTTTAAAACATATTTCTTTTTGTCGTTGACAACATTCACAACTGAGGATTCATGTTCATTTGATATGTTACATGACGTACTCGACATTAAGATGTCGCTGTGTCCTCGGGAACCTGAGAGAGTAGATGTGAAGAGGCTGCTTTGAGAAACATGTTTCACGTAAGAGAAGGTGGCAGAAAAAGATGGATTGTTATTAGTAAATGAGCCTCTGATTGAGAGGAAATAGATCAGAGTGCTTACCACTGACTACAGAGCACTTTTATTAACAGGACTGACAGCCATGACAGTTAAGTCATTACGCTACCAAACCAAGTATCCATGACGATGAGTCTTTTACTGCAGGCTGCTCAAAGTGATAGTGAGTTGGTCTGAAAGTAGTTTTTTTATTTTGTTTTTAAATGTGCAGATGAGGGTCAAAGTGTTGGAAAAGTGAGCAGCTCAGAAATCAGACGCAAGAATGAAGTTGGATTTGAGAGACGACGTATACAACCACGTAAGGACAAATAACTCATATAGAGAGAAATACATTTTGAAGACATGAAGAGATGATAGCTCATCCTTCTGCTCGCCAAAAAAATCCTTTCCTTATCAATTTTTTTCAACGGTCAGTTGTGTTTTTCTTAAACACTTTCAACACCAAATTCCTGATATCTGTTTATGAAGATACATCAGTGATGGAAATCTCGGAGGTTGATGTGAAATGTAACCGTCTCACCAGTACTCACTGTTGCTAAGTTACGAAAGTTGGCTTACTGCACTTTCGCTACCCTCAGTAGTGATCGTAAGGTCTGTTTTAAAGAGCCCATATTCTGCCCTTTTTGGGGTTTGTATATTTAATCTATGTTCCTACTTTTGTTCACAATAGCTAAAGTCTGAAAAAAGTCTCTGTTTTCATGTACTGCTCCTCCTTGCTCCCTCTACGCTCTGAGTCCGTCAGCTACACTCTGCTGAGCCTCCACTGCAGAGCCCCACATGTGCCAAGTCTGCTCTGATTGGTCTGCCGATCCGCTCTGTCGTTATTGGTCAGTTGCTCAGCACGCTTTTCGGAAATGTCCCGCCTCTTGTACAATATTTGGAATGCAGCCACTGGCTCTGTCCGAAGGGAGCATAAACATTCGCACCTTAGCACTACTGTGCTACCGCAGGCTACGGCATATCGTGGGCGTGCTACAGAAGTTAACGGGCGTGCAACATGAGCTGCTGGGCTTGCCACAACGAGCCAATGGGCTTAGATCAGTGATCTCACACTGACAATGACGTCAGACTGACACATTTTTATCGAGGGGGGGCTAGAACCGAGCGTTACATGCAGCTAATGCTACAGCTAACAGGAGGACGTAGGAGAAGCCGCGTTTCCGCAGACTTTGAATTTGTGCCTAAACATGCACAGGACACTTGGAAAACACACTAAAGAGCATATAAAACCAGAAAAAGCAGAATATGGGACCTTTAAAGTCCTTTGAAATTGCTAATGCTTTCTTTTATCGAAGTAAATGTTTAAAAGAAAACATAAAAACAATGTAAAGGAGTTATGTCCTGACACTAGTCAGCCTCTAGACCTTTGAATTTGCTCCCTCAAAAAGACGAGTCAGTGTAGACAAAGTTGATTTCAGAAGTCCCGCCCTTTCTTGATTTTGATGGGTAGGTGAGGGAGAAGTGACAAAATGACGAGTGCTGAAGTGTTTCCAAAACTTGAAGAGGGCTGTGAGTGCAGCGACATAAAACAGCTGATTCTGTTCAGAAAGTGGGCGCTGCTAAATGCACAAAGCAGCACGGCCCTCATGCTTACCTTCCTGTAGCTATCACTTTGCGAGACGTCTAAATAAGAGTTTCTGAGAATTTGTAATGATGTCAAAATATTTTCTTTCTTCATAGGAAATGAGATAAGGACACGTGTGACTGTGTGCCTGGGCTGCCTCCATCATCCTCCATCCTCCCACTGTGGACACAATAAGCTGGACAAGAAGAGTTTGGACTCAATGCTGTGAATGAAAGAATGACGGACTCTCCATCTTGTTTTTTGGTATTACTCTGATTATTTATGAGCTCTCCTTGATTTGTAAATACCTGTGTCTGTACTGTTCTTTTGTGGATACGGGGAAAGAGACGTATATTGTATTTATGAGGATAAAAACGAAAACAGTGTAGAAAAAAAACTGTTATTATAAAAAAAAACGCTCATGTCTTCTTGAATGTGCCAACCTTTTTTTTTTTGTCAAAATGTATACGCATTAACTACTGTTGCACTCTCTTGTTGTGATGGAAAAACAACAGAAAAAAACGAAGCACAAAGTGTGTTTGCTGGTCGGAAAAGCCAAAACGAGCGGGTTCCTCCTGCGCCCATGTAGTCCGCTAAGAATGTCAAACTTTTTCTATGTTCCTCTGGTTTCTCTGCAGCAGAAAGTTCCCTGTGTGCCAGCAGACTGACAGGCTTTATGAAAGTTTGATTGTAACCCCCCTCCCCCCCGGTCCTCTCTCTCCTCGTTCTTCTGAGGAACTTTTTGCTGCAGCTGTGAGATAGAATTTGCATATACTCCTTCCAAAACAAACAAAAAAAAATGTCTGTGGACTGACCTTTTTGTACTCTTGTTGTTTTGTAAATGTAAAATAAAAGACATTTGCTGATCTGAGCCTTCTCTTATTTCTTTGGAGCACCTTTCAGGAAGTGAAGTGTTGGGATAAATTTTCTATTCATGACGTCTTACCTTTCATTTCAGTCTGTTTTCACTCCCAATGCAATAATGAAAAAATTATGAAAAGTAAAATGGCAAATTGTCTTAAAAAAAAACCTAGAGCTAGATCAGGCAGTCAACTCAAGCTGCACTGATTTCACACTTGTCTCATTCTCAACAATCACCTGACAACACCTTCAAGTTAACGATGTATTTGAGAAACAAGATTTGCGCTCTCTTCCTCTGATTCTTCATTGCCAGCTCTGACCTGCAGCAGTACTGCACCTTCCCAGCATCCACCAGTAGGCTTCTACTGGAGGGTCTATTATCCCATCACTCCTCAATGATCTGCATGTAAATTCAAACTGTGAGGAGTTATTAGGTCGGAGCCTAGTTGCAAAACACAAAATATGTTCTGCTGCAATGAATGTTTTAAACAAATACAAACTCTAAACCTTAGAGTGACTTTTTGCAGGAGAACTGACCTCTGTTTTTTTCTTCCACCATGTCTTCCACTCAGCCATTATGGACATGCAACAATCAACCAAAACTTCAACATGAACCTGTATTTCAAGTGTAATGCAAATATGAAAAATCAATGGACAACCCATACTATTCAAATGTTTTTTTCTTCTGACTTTTTTTTATTTTGTAATTAAAGTCATCATTTGCCTCGTACTTGAAGATCCAGTGATTATACTCCAAGCCTTTTTTCAGGTTCTGCTGCTGCTGGAAATCGACCTGATCGTACTGATCTGGCACACTGTTAAAGGTCATTCACATCTCGATGTCACTTAAAAGTCATCGAGGTCTCCACAGTCAAACGTAAATGTCATGTGTCAGTCAGTTGTCAGTTTTGTCAGTTGTTCATTTGGCTTGAAGCAAAAGTCACAAGTACTTGAAACGATGAGACCCAGGAACTACTTTTTCAGTAATCTAAAGGTTCCTTCAGATGTTTGTTGGCACTGGGAGACTAAAGACTCACAAAGGTCAGACTGAATAGTCAGCTAGTTTTACACTCATTTTTGCACCCTCCTATATAATCATGATGTCTTCAAAACAACAACACAGAATCTACAATAAAAAAGATGAAGGAGATTACTAGTTAGACTGACTCATATACTTACAATAATTCCAGTCTGGCATGTAGAAGAAGAATAAATAACTACAAACCTCCTGGTTCATTGCAGCACATTAAAAAGTATGCTATCATAAAAGCATTAAGCATACCCTGCTTCATCATATATTTTAGTTAGAATAATAAACCGTCATTTGCAATAATGAACATCTTGATGTATTGGAGAAGATACTTAACCCAAAATGTTTCCTGAGAGTTGGCTCACTTTCTCATAAACCTCTGGAGCATCAGATGTTTTAATGAAACCAGTGCAGTTCCTTCAAGAGATTTAGCCGAGTGGAGTTTAGTTTTTTTGTAATGTTGGCACCAGGAATAGTTGCATGTTGTTGGTAGGAAAGGTTAGTATCAGTGTGGTCACTACCTGGAGCTTGCATGTACAGAGCCCGGGTCTGTTGAAGGTGGCAATGCTTTTTTGGCTGTGATGGAACATGTGGTAAGGTAGGTAAGATATGTATATGGTTTTTTTTTGTTTTGTTTTTAATACTCGATTAATCTCTAAGGAACATTCTGGTTTACACTCTGTTATAGAAAGAAATGCTTCTCACACTTATAGGCCTGAATCACACACATACACAACCAGGACCTGTGGACATGTATCAGTGGAGAGATGTCAGAGTGGGGGCTGCTACACACTGCTATGCAGGGAGCGCACCAGAGCAGTTGAGGGTTTCGATGCCTTGCTCAAGGGCACCTCGGCAGTACTCAGGAAGTGCCCTGCATGGCACCAAACAAACTCCCAAATTTTGTCCGCACCAGGACTTGAACCGTTCCTTCTGTTCCCAACCCAAGTCCCTACAGACTGAGCTACTGAGCCACATGAAGGTTCTGCATGTAGGCATGGTGGGGGGGGGGGGGGGGGGGAGCTAGGGCCTTCACGATTTGTCATCAATCAATCAATCAATCAATCATTGTATAGCACCAATTCATAACAAGTGTTATCTCGAGACACTTCACAAAAGAGCATATGGAATAATATGCAGCAAGGGTTTCTCCTTGGTTGGGACGACAGAGTCCACTGCTGGGCGTCAGGAGAAGTCTGGTGGTAGTAGATCCAGATCACCTCGCTGTCTTCTATAGAGCCTGGCTTCTGCTGCCAGGGTAAGGCCTCCTGGGCTTCTGGCACGGAAGGCGTCATGGGAGTAATCAGATGAAACACCGGTGAAGTGAGGTTCCCACTAGACGACCGTATGATGTACTGGCTCCTGCTGCCCATCAGTCTACAAGGTTGAGTTGTGGGGGACAGAAGGGGCCGTGTATTAGGGTAGGTATCAGGGTTGTCACTGCCTAGAACGGAGCCTGGGTCAGTTTAAGGTGACATCACTGTTTTGGTAAAGCATAGGGGCATAATTGGGATGAAGGGCGTATTCACAGAGTCCCCCTTTTAATTACACATTTAATTGGAGCAGCATCCCCAGACCTTTATTCATTTGGAGTTTGCTTCACCCTTATGCTTTGTTTAGAAAAAACCCCTTCCTTGAGTATGACTTTGTCAACCCAAAACACTTTGTTTTAATGTTCCCTCCCATGCGAGCCCTGTCGTAACAAAAGTCTTCACTCAGACCAAAAAATAAAATAAATAAAAACAAAAAGTGTCTTGCTGCTGAAGTTCTGTTTGTTTCCTAATCCCCTCTACCTCATTCTTCCCCCAAACTTCACAGAGCATTGCACCTGGCTGAGTGCTGCTCTGTGCGCCAAGAAGCATGAAATCACTGAAGTCTCTCCTCTGACAGAGCAACACACTCTCTCTCTCTCTCTCTCTCTCTCTCTCTCTCTCTCTCTCTCTCTCTGTGCACCTAAGACGAGGCGTGCATTACCCTCCACTGCTCTGCAGACGCCCTCCGTGTCCTAGCATACACAGGCTGACTAACTCACAGGCTCAGACACATATACATGAACATTATGTTTCTTCTCTCAGTGCTCTGTGATAAGATGCTGCAGCACATGCCTTTGTGTTGGTCCACAGATGGAGGTGATGGAGGTGGCAGCAGAGTGAAAACATGAAAGCGAATCTTCAAAAGAGCATGTAAGACGTGGGGGATGAATGCACTGATATGTGACTGACAGGCCGGTTCAGGGTCTCATACTGCAGTTTACAGCAGGACCACCTTTTTGTTGTAGTATGCTGCTTACACAACACATAGATCTGGAAAGTTTTTCTCTTGATGACTTCCCCTGCAATTAGACATATCTTAACAAAACACTGCTCACCTCCTTAAGTTTCCCGTACAGCTTGCTTATCTCTAATTGATTGGGTATGAAGATATGAGGCTGCTGAGTCTGAGTCGGCTTTATATGTGATTTTTTGATCCAGCAGATGTCGCCCTTGAGCACCAGGATGAAACCAAAAAATCTTGCGCTGCATTGTTGTGTTAGCATGCTAATGCTAGTGATCTTTATTATGCTCGTATCTTCACACTGCATGTAAATGTACCTGAAATGAGCGTGATCTAGAAACACAGTTAAGCAGTGAGTACAGTATGTTATTCTTCTTTTATCTAGTCCCTCAATTAAACAACTTTTATACGTGAGGGGAGGAGTCAGCCGGCCGTCCGGGCGATGTAAACAAACTGAAGATAGGACTCTGAAAACTCTGAAAACATCACAGACAGTGGGACTCGGGTGTTAAACCCATTGTAGACAGTCATGACTCAGAGTTATTTTCAGAGGATATACTTGATTTCTATTATATTTAAGTTTGGAAAATCACATATAAAGCCTTTAGACCTGGTGGGTCACCTGATACCAGATGGGGACAGGGAAAGGTGTTTTAGTACAAATGGCTGAAAAACAGGGAAATTAAGAATTTTCTTTAAAGGATTAAAAACAAATGTTCCACGCTGTGCTGGCAGTGTGAAAACAGTGTGCATTGTTCAATTCAGCCAACTATGGGTACCTCCCCTAGAAGCCACAGGCCCCACTTTGGGAATCACTGCCCTATAGCTGATACAGCAGTATCAAAAATATTTACATATAACCAAGGCTTTGGTCAGGGTCCTTAACTTCTACTCAGCTGTCTGAGTTGGCTTTATTGCGTTATAATAATTATAGAGAACACAGGCTAAGACGGGGTCATGCAGAACTTGCTGACATCAGAAATTTCCTCAGGATTTCTCTTTTTTTAAGCGTCTCTTGGTTTTCTAAAAAGCTTCATTCAGATCACCTCAGTTATTTTAAGTGAGACACGGCTAGAAGACCAGGTCAGAAACGGAAAGGGTTCATTTGTGAAGTGAGTTAAATATACACTTAAAGAATGTTTTCATTTGAAATAATGTTACTTAGTAAGTAGGTAAAGTTTTATTTATATAGCATTTTTCACAGACATTGGCCCCAAAGTGCTTTACAAGGACACAACATAAATAGGGAAAGACTGTCACAGAGCCACAGATAAGATCAAAAACACAGTCCATCTTACACCCACATTCACACTTTATTAAACACTTAAACACTCTTATATTCACTAAGATAATGTGTATTTGGAGTACATTTTCTCCTTGGTATTATTATCTTTATTCCAGAAGCAAAAGTTAAGTTTAGAAATCTGTGTGGCAGAAGAAGAAGAAGAAACAAACTGACACAAGCAAATATTATGTTTCAGATTTGGGTGTATAGTACCAACAGTATCTACAGTATCTGTGTTAAGCTTTTGTGTTTAGAGGATTGTCTCATCTTGTTATATTTCGATCTTCTGGTATCAGTCAGATTTTGTAGCCTGCAGCCACAGAGCGACCCCCACGCAATAAATCCCAATGTAACCCCTGAATGAAACAAGTAAAAGTCTTGCAGTGATAAT